TTTTTTATAATTTTGAATAGGGAAAATATATTTGCCAGTCCTTATAGTTTGAGTAGATTTTGAATTGGGTCCCTATAATTTTATTTCTTTTTATTGGATCCTTACAGTTAATTTTGTTAAATTCATCGGTCCTTCTGTTAGTAAAAGTTGCAATTGCCGTTAATGTAAAGTGACATAGGGTGATGTGGCACTCTCTCACCCAAGTATGTATGTGGCTCCCTCTATCATCTGTCTCTCTCATCTCTCCAAGCTAACCACGGTAAGTTCCATGGCGCCCAGATTTTCCCAACTCACAAGCTAAACTGAATCCCATATTTCCGCAACTCAGAAGTTGTGTTCTTCGTGAGCCCAACCATAGCGTGCTCTGAAGCTTTATAAGCATGAGGACCTAGTCCTCCCAAGAGTCTCGCGATGCTCGACGTCGATATGATGCGCCCAGATCGCCTGGGTATCATCACTCTACCGCATGCTTGATTCCGAGAGCTACACCCTTCATGTTCACTCACATGACTCTGTCGAACTCATCGGTGTCGAAGTTAACAATCTTTTGTTCTTTGATTGATTCCCTAATACTTCGACATTGCTTAAGATTATATTGAGCTGGTCGTACCAAGAGATTGTGGATTTCACTAACTTTTCCATGTCTTCTTTGGACAGTGGAAGAAGTGGCTGACAGAGATAATGCCTCTACAAGTAGAGATCCATACGCGTCTTCAACATTGGCAATCAAAACTTTCGCTCCTTCCTTCACGAACAACCTTACCATTGCTTCCTCTATTCCTCTCGTTCCTCCGATCACTATGGCCACTTTTCCTTCTAATCTGTAGAAAAATACAAGATTTATGCAGAGAGTTTTAGTTCATTCTCTTGTTTCTGTTTCATGATGCTTGAAACAGGGAAAAACAGAGCATGTATGAACAGAGAGAAGAAATGAAAGGAATACCTCCTAGCTGGAGAGAAAGTGTGGTCCTTTGCCATGATAGAGACACCCTAAAGATTTGGCTCTGGCACTACTTCGGCAACAATCATGGCTGACCTCTTAAATGGAGTTTCTTGCAATTACGACCTCATAGACACACAGAGAGAGAGAGAGAGAGAGAGAGAGACGAGAGAAGATGGTAAGTGCTTGGAAGTTTTGGTTCGATTAAGGAGCACCAGGTTCGATAACGTGACTTGATGGGAGACACAAAGGCAAAATTTTGAACTGTGCAAGTGCTTGGAAGTTGGCACACAAGCGAGGTATAGGGAGTGTTAACGAGGGAGTTTGTTTGTCTTTATTTAAAAGTTTTTCAATATACTTAGACTTCTAAACTTATAAATTTTAAACAAATAACCAGCAACTTGAGGGAGTCCTTCTTCGTTCCTTTTGGGTGTTGTTAGCTTCGAGAGATGAGAAAGACAGATGGTAGAGAGAGCAGCAAACTTGGGTGTGAGAGAGAGTGCCAGATCACACTCTATCCCTTCACATTAACGACGTTTGCAATCTTTGGTAACGGAAGGACCGATCAATTTAACAAAATTAACTATAAGGATTCAATAAAAAGAAATAAAATTATAGGGACCTAATTCAAAATCTACTCAAACTACAAGGACTGGCGAATATATTTTCCCTTTTGAATATTTTCAAACGGACCTCTGCCTAATTCAATAGATATGATTAGAAGGGAGTTTGTGGCCGTGGGAGCGGGCGAAAAAGGACGCGTGATGGATATTGAAAGAGGAGGGAGTGTGGCATGGAAAGAGGGAGGGGGGGGGGGTGAGGTTATCAAATCGGAGAAATGAGATTTTTGAAGGAGAGGGTGGGACCAGCGTCATAATATGAGAACTGCAAAAGGCAGAGCAACAGTGATATAGTCACATGCTCGCACTGCATCTCCCTCACGCCACCCCTTGGCGCGTGCACTGACTTCCTCATTCGTTACTCATGCCCGAGCCCGACAGGTAGCTCCTCTTTCCGACCTTTGGTACGGCGCGTACGAGTCCTCATCCGGCCCCACATCACCAATCTCAATTGTGAATTATTCAGATTAATTATTTATGAAGCTCGATCGCTCATATATGATATACCACCATCAGCTCTGCGTAAGTGGCCAAGTGCCCCCCTCATTCCTCCCCTTTGCGCTTCCGGTCCCATATGTCATGAATCACCTAACTATTGAGGATTGGCGATGCTTCGTCAAACAAATCTACATACTTTGGCACCGCTTCAAAAAATTACTAGTGTGTTTTGGAACATTGAACTGCTCCGATATATTCATCTCATGCATATAAAATTATTTAAGGTAAGTTGAACCGCACACTTATTTAATTTTAGAATTGAGTTACAACTTACAAGTCTACTAATAAAATACCCTCTTCATAAATGTGTTTTTGACATCATGGGCATAAAAAAACACATAATTTTTTTTGAAGAGAAAAAAAATGTAAACTTATACTACCTCCAGTCCTATTTATAAGAGCTAGTTGACTAATTTGAAGAGATTAAGAAAAGAAGTTAAGTTAGTTATTTGTAACAAATAGATGTTGTTTTTTCTAAAATATTCTTACTGATCAAATGTATTGATTATAACTATTATTATTAGAAGGATTATCTTAAAAAAAATACATAAATATGAGATACATAATGGATTGAGGTCTTATATTTATGATCAAAATAAAAGTTAGACAAGTCTTATATTAAAGACCGGAGACAGTATATTGAAAATAGTGTGGGCCCCACCTTATTACATCTTTATTTCATTTGAAAAGGTTTGTGTATTTTTATACTTAAACAAATTTTGTGGTGTGATATGCATATGTATATTCGTAAATACTGCATAGGTAAACTTATATATTAACCCTTAATCTTAATTTGTTTGTTATGTTCCTTATTTATAGTTTTGGCACCTATCAGGCTATCACGTTCACTGGAGCTTGGAGCGCATTCCACCAGGAGTCATCTTAATCTAAATAGTTCAAATTGATTATAAATGGTTGAGATTCAATTTAAATACTTTTTATATTTTAAATAGATACAAACTTTAAAATAAAAATAATCTCATGATTAATGTTTTTAAGGAGCTAATATAATTTTTATTCTCTTAAATTTGCACAAATTTTGATTTTATTATCTTAAATTCTAAATTGTAGGTTTTGTTTTTCAATAGGCAAAATGATTTAGGTTTTATTAAATTATAAAAAAATATATTTTAAATAAAAAATTTAAGGGACCAAAACCTATTATTTAACATTTGATGGACCAAAATAAAAATAAAAACAATTTTAACGGAGCAAAAATTGTATTCATCCTATTTTTATAAAATGATAAATTTATCCCCACGAAGTATTTATAGCTGAATGATTACTTGGTTGCGGTGGCGTGCTCGCAAGTTCTATGTCCATATCTAACACGTACGTTTATAACAGCATTCAATGAATCTAACAAAATTGAGTTAATTCATTGAACGTGTTTTAAATCGATTTTTTCCCCCCAACTTACCTATATTAAACGGTGTTGTGAAGGACAAAGAAAAATACATAGAGTTATTCCTCTGGTTTTATTTATAAGTTACTTCTAACATGTTTCACATAAATTAAGAAAAATCTTAAATTTTATTAATTTCTGTTTAAAATTCAATAACTTTTTAATTTTACTCTTTTTTAATATATATTATATTTCATGTAAATAAAGCTAACATAATAGTAAATAAAAGGTAAAATTATACATCTATATAAAATTTTTGTCTAAATACTTTATAAATAGGACTAAAAAATATCTTATCTTTTTGTTCTATAAACAGGGTCAGAAGAGTAATATATTTAACCATCAATTGTAAGAACAAAATTAATAAATAAGTATTAATTATATTTTAAGTCACTTATATTTCGAACGAAACTGTTTTTTAGAAGCTCCTTATTGTGGGAGTATATTGGTTTAAATAAAATTTCCATTTAATCGTCACTTCATTCGTAAAAAGCTCATTTAATATTCAACGGTTCAACGTTCACGTCCCAGGCCCCCAGACCATGCATGGGTGCTGGTTATATCAGCTAACACCGCATTTTCAAGAATTAATTTAATTAATAGTGAGAGGCCAGAGCAAGTGAATTATGTTTGAATGGAATCAAAGCATAATTTTTAAAATCATTTTACAATATACAAAATAAGTATATGAAATTTTTTTTGTTTTAATCAGTGTAAAAACATTTTTTTTTAAAATGCTTTTTAATTGGAAGGCGTCATATGCATTGAGTTCAGCGGATGCTTGAACTAGCTTGTTATCTAAAAGGGGTAAGTAAATAGCACGTGAGAAGAGCAGCGAAAGCACCATTTTAAGCGTTTACAGTGTTTATTAAATAATAAAACCGTTTACATGCCAAGTGAAAATATAAACTACTCCTCCGGTCCTTATTATAAGACCCAATTTGACTTTTTATTTGGTCCTAATTATAAGACCCAATCCATTTTGTCTCTTATATTTATGCATTTTTTTCCAAGATAATCCTTCTAATAATGATAGTTTTAGCCAATATACTTAATTAGCAAGGATATTTTAGGAATGACAACACTTATTTATTATAAATAACCAACTTAACTTACTTCCTTAATTTCCTCAAATAAGTCAATTGGGTCTTATAATTAGGACCGGAGGAGTATATTTCTTTTGACCTGAAACTATTATTTTGTTTATTATGAAATATTTTTCGTGATATCTCAATGAATTCTGGCTTTAGCGCGTAGGCGGAGATGAAGGCTGAATGGGAGTCGTGTGCGCGCCAGATTTTTGTACTGCGGAAGTATCTGTCACGCGCCCGCGTGAGGAAACCATGCTTGACAATCCCCGTTGGCCGTGGAGCCCCCGCAGCCCCACCGCCTCCCCTCCACATTCAAGTCTTGTTGATTTCGTTTATTTATTTTTTTCTTTTAATATTTCTTTGATAAATATATTCAGTATTATCCAAAGCGCGAGCGCTTTTCTGTTCAAGTTTTGTTCGCTTCTCCCTTCTCTCTGTGATCCCAGTACAGCTTCGGATCATCATCATCACTCAAACAGAAGAGAGAGAGACAGAAAGTGATAAACGGAGTTTAGAGAGAGAGTGAGAGTGAGTGACTTACAGAGCTCAGCTCTAGGAACTATGCAATCCGATAAGGACTTGTGCTGCTAACACACAGAGAGTGAGGTACCATTATTATTCATTTTTTTCGGGCTTTTCATTTCTCACTTCCCATTGTAATAAATTCCAGTCATAACCAGTTACCTTGTAATGACCGGTAATAATTGCTTCCTCGCATACACAGTGGTCTCCTCCTCTGCGCCTGCTGTGACCGCTCTTTAGTTCCCAAGAAACTGTTCGTCATTTTGAGCTCAATTTTGGGTTCTTCTGATTCTCATCTCTGCCTTCTAGCTGTTCAAGCAAGGGGAGAGTTTGAATCTTTTCAAAAATGTCAGTATGATTTTTTTTCTTCCCATCTTGTTTCTGTTTGTTGGGATTCAGTTTTCTCTCCCTGCACTTTCAAATCAGCGATGCATCATCTCTTTCTTGAACCGCATTCTGCCTAGCTTTCTTTGCATGTTTCTGTTCTTGTACTGTGGCACTTTGCACTGTTAAGCTGGAAGTGGATTTGAAGTCTTAAGTGGAATTGACTTGAAGTATTTCCCCCTTTTGGTTTTCTTTTGGGTGTTAGCGTCAAAGGTTGAGCGTTTTCTGTCTTTATACGGGGCTGTCTTGAAAATTGCTTTGTGTTTAAGGGTTATGATGGGTTGGTGGGAAGCGACCTTTTCCAGTTCATTCGGTCTTTATCTTCAATGCGAAGCCTTTATGTTGATTCTCATAGTTTGGTAGGCTGTAAAGCTTCTCCTTTTGTCTTATCCTTATCTTATTGATCTTTGAGACAGATGATTCATTTTCCTTGTTTCTGTTGATGCCTTCTTCTTGCCTTCCCAACTTCTTCCTTGATCGATCTTCTACCTTCCATTGAGACTCAGTCCAGGGGTCCTTTTTCTCAATATTCACGTTTCTTTCAGTATGGTGCCATCACTAGCAAACTCCTCTGCTGAGTTCTCTTAAAGTTGTTTTTCTCAAAGTAGTCTGGCTATAAAGACAGCTGAAGCTATTTAAGTCTTTTTCTGATACAATAGTTGATCATTATACATTGTGTTTTGCTGATTTTATGTTATTCTAGTTCCTGCATTTTTTTCCCCCTTTAAAATGCCTTTTTGTAACCGTCCTGTACCTGAGAACAGTGCTAGGTGAAAAACTTTGGCATATTGAGTATTGGGGGTCAAATTTTCTTGTGAAAGATTTTGGAGAGGAATTTGAAGTAAATGCATGGATCGAGGGGACCATATGGCGTTATCTGGGTCTGCGTCTTACTATATGCAGAGAGGGCTTGCTGGTGCTGGGGCACAACCTGAGTTACATGGTTCCCCGGGCATTCGTCCTCTGTCCAATCCCAATCTGCCATTTCAACCTGGCATTGGAGGTGGCGCCGCCATTGGATCCACGTTACCTGTAGAATCTTCAGCAATTTCACCTCATGGTGTCAATGTGGGTGCTCCTCCTGGTGCACCGCCGGGAGAACCTGTCAAAAGGAAGAGAGGAAGGCCTAGGAAATATGGTCCGGATGGAAGTGTATCATTGGCCTTGACTCCATCTTCTGGTCATCTCAGTGGAGCATTGACGCAAAGCCAGAAGCGAGGTAGAGGCCGTCCTCCGGGATCTGGAAAGAAACAGCAGTTGGCCTCTCTTGGTAAGCCTCTGGTCTAAATTCTATTATGGCGTGTTTTACTACTTAAATAATTTGAGGTTATACAGTATCTGCTTTGGAAAACTTCAGTTTTGTCATGTTTATGAGGGTGATGGGTATGGTCGATGCCCTTGTTTCTCAACAAAATTTTATTTTTATTTAAGTTTCTTTAATCCAAAGCTCTGTTGATTCTTATTGTAGAGCCGAGCCAATTTCTATTTGTTAATCTTAGGTGAAATGGAATCTATATGCCTAGAATTTGTTTGGACTGCAATGATTTTAATCTACATTATGCCTTCCAAGTGTCAACGTTGAGGAAGGAAGTAACAATTACTTTACTCTACATTATTTAATTTAATTGCTTTTATTACTAATTGAGATGTATTTTCTTTTATCCTTAATATAAGAACTAACTAACTAATTTGCGAATATTAAGAAAATTAATTAAATTGGTTATTTGTAATATATGTTTGTTGGCTTTCCTAAACTATTCTAATTAATCATGTGCTTTGGAACTATGTCTAGGTAAGAACCTTCTTAATATGTCCAATCAATAGGGATACTTTGAGGGAAAAATTACAAATTTAAGAGATAAAATGGATTTGGTTATTTTATTTAGGACCAAATTCAACTTCTAATTAGCTCTCATATTAAAAATTGGAGGTACTATTGTTTAACCTATCTCAGAAAAAAAATGCTCCTGCGTTGATAAATTTTTATTCTCTGTTTATATATTCATGGTCAAAGGCAGTAGAGATGCAGTTAGTTAGGTATTTTGCTTTACTGTGCCATTGATATAGAATTATGTACTAAGCTGTTTCGTGGAAGGCAAGAGTTGTAATTTCTATTTCATATTGATTTTGAGATTATAGCAGCTGCTGAATGTGTGAGTGCAACAGCTATCCGAGAGGCCACACAACTCGAAAGCCTTATTTGAGTTGCAAATACAAATGCATCATGGGATAACTCTTTCTGGTTCACTGTGTGAAGAAAATAACAAGCATAACTGAAATTTTCTGTTAGAGAAACTAAAGAAAATAATTTTTTTGGACGTGAAAAGCATCGATAAAATTGTTTTAAATGGATGAAATCTCATGGGAACTGGTGATATGAAGAGCGTCAATGTGGCTTCATAATTCTTGAGTTTTGCCATTGCTGTGCGATTTGTTATTGTATAAGCTGTTCAATGCATTGACATTATTATACCATTGTGTATGTTTCAAATTATCGATTTTTTCCCCCAAGGGTGAAATAGTTTTTCTTTGCAAACATATTTATGTGCATATTCTAAAATGACCTTAATAAGACCTGCTTACTTTTTCTTTGTGATGGCTGATTAATTTACAATACTTACGAGTGTTATTGCCAGGTGAATTGATGTCTGGTTCAGCGGGGATGGGCTTTACTCCTCATATCATCACCATTGCAGTTGGAGAAGTATGGTTCAATCTTATGAATTTGTATTGATGTCTCTTTTCTTTGTTAAAATTTATAGTCGACAGTTATCTCATGAGTTTCTGCCAGCATATGTTCCCTTATTTGCACGAGGTTCTAAAAATTTGATCTTATGGCTGACAATCCAGACATCATTTTTAATTGACTCCTTCACATAATGATAGGGCTAAATACCACTGAATAATAAACTTATGTTTATGTCTAATTATTTCTTTTTAAATTTAAATGGAAAAATTTAGGCAAGCATTATGACTACGTTGATATCTATGATAGTAAAGGGAGAGATAATGTAGAAGTATTATGATAAAAGTTAGAGCCTTATTTGTTGTCTAAGATTTATTTATTTATTAAGTTAGAAATGACTGGGAGGTTAAATGGGAGATCAAATCATCTCATAAGTGACAGTTCAGATATTTGGGACCAATTATATAAAAGGATGGTTCAAATGGAGAAAAGCTACCGGAGTTATTTGTAATTAGAAAGTGTTTATACTACATTTTTTTTTAAATGAATATTCTATTGACCACAGTTTCTGATAAAGCAACGGGCAGTGCATCTTGCTTTTTCTGCTGCAATGATTCAGAGTCAATCTTTTGAAATTTACTTTATTTTCTTTTTACTGAAGGACATTGCAACAAAAATAATGGCATTTTCTCAGCAAGGACCTAGAGCCGTATGCATTTTGTCGGCAAACGGTGCTGTCTCTAATGTGACGCTTCGACAGCCTTCAAGTTCAGGTGGCACGGTCACATACGAGGTGTTTTGACCTTGCACTCTATTATTATTCCCGGTTCAAGGAATTCCTGACTTTTGTGTTTTGTGTTTCAAAAGGAGGAGAAAGAAGCTGGCTGAAATTTTTTGGCTATCTTAGCTTTACTACTCACACATGTTGAATGAAAATACTTCCAGTTTTAAGTATCATTCTGCTTGTTCGTTCACTTTTTTAACGAGTTTTTCCCCCTCAACCCCTTCGAATATCAAGTAAATCTCTTTGGTCATTTCTATACTATTTTAATGATTGGTATACTTTGGCTTCCTGTAGGGGCGTTTTGAGATATTGTGCCTATCGGGCTCTTATTTGCTCACTGAAAGTGGTGGCTCTCGCAATCGAACTGGTAGTCTTAGTGTTTCGCTAGCCAGTCCTGATGGCCGTGTCATTGGTGGTGGGGTTGGTGGATTGTTGATTGCAGCAAGTCCTGTTCAGGTCACTGCACCTTCACTTTTGCCAAAATGATATTGTTGTCTTCAATCTTAAATTTGTTATTTCGGCCAACAAGTATAGTTGTCTTTTCCTGCTAAAATACCCAGATACTTCGCTGATAATTTCTAGTTAACCCTTGATTACCTAATCAATTCTTCTCTTCATGCTCATCCTTTTCCCAATTACGCATTGCATGAACTTAATCTATGACTAAATCTCTATCAGTCAACTTTAGTGCAAGCACTTGAAAACTGTACTAGACTATTTATCGTTCTTCTTCACAGCTTCCATTGAATCAATCATGCCTTCTACAGGTGATAGTTGGGAGCTTCATATGGGGTGGATCAAAGACAAAGAGCAAGAAAAAGGAGGTTGCACAAGAAGCAGAAGTAGCCATGGAATCAGATCATCATCATCATCAGCAGCAGCAGCAGCAAGCGGTTCATAATCCACCTGCATTGAACAGCATTTCACCTAATCAAAATCTCACCCAAGCTTCATCTATGAGTTCCTGGCCTCCTGCTTCTCGTCAATTGGACATGCGTAATTCCCATGTTGACATTGATTTAATGCGTGGGTGATATGTCATATAATGATATACACTACTGTGCCGCAGTGTACATATGTTTCAGAAGGAATTCTTGATCACTCATCTAATCTTGTTGTGGTAGTAACAACAGAACGGTAAGAATCAACAGAGGAGTAGAAGCAAGCTGACTCGCGGAACTGATAAGTGTTTCACTTTTCCACCTCATGATTGTTGCACTCATATTCTTGTAGCTTTGAGGAATTTACGATTTGAAGATCTCAAGTTCCATGACATTGTATTTATTTTTCTTCCTTGACAAGCTGGAGACTTGGCTAAATGATCATTTTCTTTCCCTCCCTTTGCGTGATATATGATGAATCATGTCAAATAATTGATGAGACCTTGAAAGAGATTGCCACTGCAGGCAATGAGGCCAATCGTTTGGTTTGGTTTCAGGAGTTATGAAATTATAAATAGATGTCTGGGGTCTACCTTTGATTAACTTACCACCTCGGAGGTGACGTTTTGTAAAGTCATCTTAATTGAAGGAATGAGACTTGGTGGATTTTATTTGCTTGTATTATGGCAAGCTGGCACTAAGGAATGTCTCAAAGAAGGCCTCAAGGTCTTGAGAATAAGCAGTGGGGAAACAGCAAAGAATTTTTACAGCCTTGGAGTCATGGTATCATCGACCTGCAAATAATTAAACTAGTCACCCTCAGCAAGCAATAGATTCTAGCAATGACGGCATAGCTACTCTGCAATCTTTTCACGGCTTCAAATTATATGTTTCGACTACTTTCAAGCATAGGGTGGATAGGAGCTAGGAAACACGCGATCCTTTTTTCTTCCTCATCCACCATAGTTTATATTGCTTGTGTTTTTTTTGTAATATATATATGTATATGTACTTCAACTGTAATTGAATTAATGCAGCAAATGGACAATATTCTTTTTAAAATTTTGATAATTTAATATGTGAAAAATATGTAAACTAATAATTTATAGTTTTTGTAATTGAATGCTCACATGTTTAGAATGGACAAATAATAAAAAAAATACAAGGCTTTGAAGATTAAATTTTTGTAACTGACTGACGTCTCTTTGGATTATTAACTAAACGGAATGGAGAATTAGTCATTGATTCTTAGAAGAACTGACTAAATCGATTTAGTTAGCATTATTTTGGATTTTTCAAAGTCCATTTATCAATTGGATCGCTATTACTTGCGTGCAGGTCTTTTTTCTCTATTGCATGCAATCGCATAGGGTCACAACACCAAAAATGCCTTCATCCCACAACTTTTATGAATTTGTCATTGGAGATTCAGATGGGATGCTTACAAGCCAGATTCCGGTTACGTGCGTTTTCATGTGCAAGAGGACATTAACTACAGCCAAAGCTCACAGGCATGTCGCTCTATACATTCAGAATTCAAGTTTGCTACGTCTGGTGATACAATCAACCATCCCACATCTATATATATCACAATCAATCCTTTCAGATATAACAGTTGTTACCGCAATATTGGTGAAAATCACTTTGCTGAGCACCTTAAACTCATAAGATCTGGGCCATTCATATCTGATTTAGATAGTCCAGATTAAATTTTTTTATTTTTATTTATGTAAAATAATTATTTTAATAGGTATAGAATCCAAAATAAAAATAATGTCTTAACTATCATTCTTTCAAAAAATAGTTTTTTCTATTTAAAAATAAATAATTAAAAATTTTAAATATGGATCATTCAAATCAGATATAGATGATCCAGATCTAATGAGTTTAGAGTGCTTATTAAGGTGATGAGCATGAAACTGATTCCAAATAACCAAGGCCTAAAAACAAAATAAACTTGCACACTATATAGGAATAGAAACATAATTAGCTATTAATTAGGGCATAAATATATGGTGTATTTAGATGTGTATTACGTGTTTAATGATTAGTTACAGCAATTTCTTCTCTTGCGCCGAATGGAATATTTTCTTGTAATTAACTTGGTCAAATTACTCAATTGAGATGTATATAGATTGATTAGGACGTTTAACACAAGGAACATAAAATATATAAAAATTACTGCTTGCTTGTCGGTCAAAAGGATCATGTCTTGCCTATAAATACCCTACTCCATGAGCTCTTTTTGGCAGAATCAATTTCATCGATCATTGAAACATAGGGAAGGAGAAGATGAAGATCCAACCCGGCATTTCACATCCCGTTCTCATCATCTTCTTCTTCTCTCTTCTTGTCGTAATGAGTCTGGCGTCAAGTTCCACCAAAGGTGGGGGCACCTGTAAGCCCAGTGGCAGACTGAGGGGGGAGAAGCCTCGCGGAAAATGCCAGGATAACTGCTGTCAGCCCGGGAAGTCGTACCCCGTCTTCCATTGTTCGCCACCGGTGACTAAGCGGACGAAGGCCACTCTGACTCTGAACAACTTTGAGAGAGGCGGAGACGGAGGAGGGCCATCAGCGTGTGACAACAAGTTTCACTCAGATGACACGCCGGTGGTGGCCCTTTCAACAGGATGGTTCAACCAGAAGAAAAGGTGCCACGAGAGCATCATCATCTTCGGCAACGGAAGGAGGGTGAAGGCGACGGTGGTCGATGAGTGTGACTCCGCAAAAGGCTGCGACGCAGAGCACGGTTTCCAGCCTCCGTGCCCTAACAACATCGTCGATGCTTCTAAAGCAGTTTGGAAGGCTCTGGGTGTGCCCCAGAAGCAGTGGGGCGACGAAATCGAGATTGAATGGTCTGATGCATAGAGAACAAGTTCTCGTGCACATTTCATTGTATTGTTTGATCTGCAAGTGTGAGGCTCACATGCTTGGCAGCGTCAAATTGTGATGTATGTGCACGAGAATTTCTCTCCATGCATGCGTGCATTTATTATAAGATAAAGAGAGAAATTTTTTTGGTAGGTTTAATTTATGGAAAATATGCGGATCATAAAAAAGACATATCAAAGGGAAAGTTCCACGTAATGATTTATATCCAATAATCATTTCATTGTTGCTTTTCAAAGTTATTGATGCATTTTGAAAGTTACAACTCAATCTTAGCTTCTCGATAAAATGTTTTTACTTTGTTATGAGTTGCAACTTGATCTGAGAAGCATCAATGGTGAATTTTCAAAAAAAAAAAAAACAGAATACATGATTTTGGTTTCAGAAACATTGATTTTTTATTATCTCTTTCAACATAACTATTATTCTCCATATGGAACTTTCCCTCTAATGAATCTCTTGACGCGCCCGTGTGTCTTTTTTATGATTAGTTTTGGTCTATGAATTCAACCTACTTGAAAAATTTTCTTTTACTGGGTACGTACCATGGCTTTTAATTTTCCCACTCGAAATTTATGCAGCATAAAGATAGAAATAAACGAAAGGTTGCCTTGAGTTTTTGTTTCATCAATTTTATGTTGTCGTGGAAAAAGTTATGAATAAACTTGATGATCATTCTGTATTTAATTATGGAGTATAATTGGGTTTGTAGTTTTGCGCTGCGCACAAAGCTAGCTAGGGGCCAATATTAACCGACTAGCTACTTGGTTAGCGGCAAAAGACAATTATAAAAGCATATGGACTTCTTAACTTCATTTTCGGGCGGGACAGATGAAAAACGGCCAATTAACTTACTTAATACTAAATATAATAGCTGTACAAAAAGACGCACAAACACTCATGTATGTGATAGTTCGAATTGTTGAATTACATGCACAGGAGTGACGTATATACAATATTTACATGTAAGGAAGTGACAGTCTCGTGTCAAATATACAAGACTAGCTAATTAAGAGATACTAGACATTATGTATATGTAGGGCAAATATAATTAGTTCTATTGTTGTGCGTATATTAGTTCCTATGAATGACTCGATCGGATGGAGCGTGCGTGCTGCCACTGGACTGATTTCAAATTCAAGCAGCTTTGATGTGGGGTCCATGATCAGAAGCTGAGTTGTACCTCCACACACACACAAACCATTGTCACTGTGATGTGTACTGAATTTAATATATATTCAATTTCAGTTGGTTAATTAATAATTAAGCAATCCAAGTTTTTGTTTTTGCAGAACTAGTCAAATGCATATGCCGTTATATATCGTGAAGTTCATGACATATATATTATTTTTTTAAGGCGTGATAAAAAAAAAAATGGAATCTCTTACTAGGTAGCACGAATCTCAAATTAAATAAGCTCATTCACCCAAGTTGGCTTCTCCCTTGCCAAACTCAAGATAATAAAATAGACCTATGTTCGTTCAGGTTTATATATATATGTGTGTTCAGAAATAAGGAGACATATGAGGGAAAAATAAAAATTAAATTGCCCAAATATATGTGTGTGACTTGTGAAATATATTTTTCCATCATCTCCACTTATATGTTGGCAATAGAGAATGTATAATCCTATCGCCAATATTGGCCTGTTATGGTGCTTTCACAGGGAGCAAACTTCTACTCCTCCTCTCAATATTTGTCAATGAGAACTCTTCATAATTATATTTAAGCATATTCATGCAAGAGTTCAAAGCTAATTAATAGGTAATATAAATATCTGACGATCTATGTACACATTTTTCGGAGTATTCAATTAACTCCAGATGTGAATGAATTTCTGCAACTTTTTCGTTGTAATCTGCCATCAGCACGAGTACGTGTGTGTGTGTGTGCGCGCGCGCGCGCAGATGGTTAGGATGTCCAAGTGTAAGAATCGACATCTAATCTTTGTTGTTGTAGTAATTAATGACAGAATGGCAAGAACCAACATATAAGCAGGCTGAGATAAGTGTTCCACTTTTCCGCCTGTGATTGCTGTGCTCATACTCTTGTAGCTTCTTTGAGGAATTTATAATTTGAGGATCTCAGGTTCCATGATATTATATTTGTTTCTTCCTTGACAAGTCGGACATTTGGCTAAATCTATCATTTTCTTCCCCTCCCTTTTAGTCATTTATCGTGAATCTTCGCGTCAAATAACTGAAGTGTCCTTGAAACAGATTGCTATTGCAGACATGAGGCTAATCGTTTGGTTTGGTTTGGTTTGAGGAGTGTTATGACATTATATAAATTAATAGATGTCTGGTGTCTCCCTGCTTTGATTAATTAACTTTTGGTAGATTTAATTTGCATATATCATGGGAAGTTAACGTTAAGGGAGTGTCTCAAAGAAAGTCCCAAGGTTTTTGAGAATAAGGAGAAATTAAACAAAAGAGGCGAGAGTGGGATTATTGAAGATATATATCTTAATTTTGAATTTTTCTAGATGTCGGCTGATACATGTCTTTTGAAATATCAGTATATTAGCATTTATTCTGCACTTTAATGCAACAGAAACATGTTTCGTTTACGTACGTGCTGCAGCTTTCTGGGTATAATCCTTGTCTCCGTCGCCGACCAATGATTATTATAACCAATTCTATTACAGAAACTAGCCGGCTAGTAGTATATATACGATCGTGTTTGTCATCCTTTAAATTTTAACTTTTCCTTTCATTATGGTAATTGAGTAAATCGAAGAATAGTTCTCCGAGGTTATTCAGAGAAGAATTATCGCTAAAAATAAAGAGAAATGGTAACAAGAAAGCAGCTGGATTGTCTTGTTGCCATGTTAGAAAATTCAAATATAGTCCGTTGCGCTGCGCATAGCTTTGCAAATATAGGATATTAATTATATTCGTCATCTTCAGTATGAAAAGAAATTAAATAACAGCCTTGGAGCCATGGTGTCTTCTGGGCCAGCAAATTAAATAATTAAACAATTCACGCCCAGTCAGATTCTAGCAATAACGACAAAGTTACTGTGGAATCTTTTTGCGGCTTCAAATTCCTTGTTTCGCCCACTTTCAAGCATAGGGTGTGGATAGGAACTAGCTAGGAAAACCACTCTCATAATTGGGTCCCCGTCCACGCCGTATAATTGGATATACAATATTCTTTAATTTTTAAAATTCATCTTTAATATAAAATATATATAATTTATAATTTTTGTAATTGAATGTTTACATGTTTAGAGTGTTCAAATAACCATAAAAAAAAACCAAGCCTTTGAAGATTAAATTTTCTATTAGTTTAATTTGATTGGTTTTAATCAATTCTTTGACTGACTATTCTTTCAAAAAACTAAATGGAATCGAGAATTAGTTATGATTCTCAGAAGAATGGACTAAATTGATTAAGTTTTTATCAATTGAATCACTATTAATTACTCCTGTAATCCTATTTATAAAGCACTTTCAGCATATTTTATTATACTAAGAAAAATCTTAAACTGTTTTAACTCTCCATTAAAATATAATAACTTTTTAACTTTATCCTTATTTAATATATATATCTTTCAAAAATAATAACTATCTGCATTATAATAAATGAGGAACAAAATAATACATTCATATTAAAAATTTGATGAAAGGACTTATAAATAAGGGGAAAAAAAAGCATTCTTTCTCTGTTTTATAAATAGGACTAAAAGAATACATAAGTGTGCAGGTCTATTTCTCCATTGCATGCAATTATGGAGTCTCCTTCACACGTAAAATCCCTTCATTCCATAAATAGAATTTAGAACTTTTATGAATCATTGGAAAATCATATGGCATGTGCATACAAGTTAATAATTAGATTCCTGTTCAGTGCATTTTGATGCAAAAGGACATTAATTACAACCAAAGCTCAAATATATATGCCCAGTTATTGTGTATTTCAACTTGCCACGTTTGGTGATACCGCAATGTTGGTGAGAAAAACTAAGGCCTGATGGCCTAACAACAAAATGAACTTGTACGCTGTAGCAGCAGAAATATAATTAACTACTATTGATTTGAACATAAATATAATGGTGTATTTAGATGTGTATATATATTACGTGTTAAATGATTAGTTAGAGCAATTTCTTCTCTTGTGCCGAATGGAATATTTTCTTGCAATTTGGTCAAATTACTGAATTGAGATGTACATAGATTGATTTGGACGTACGTTTAACACAAGAAACACGAAATAAAAACTACAACTCAATTACCTGTCGATCAAAAGCTTTATTTTGTCCTGTCTGGCTATAAATACCTTAGTCCATAAGCTCTTTTCTGCAGAATCGATCAATCTCATCATTGAAACAAAGGGAAGGAGAAGATGAAGATCCAATCCGGTATTTCAAACCGTTCAAATCCTGTTCTCGTCTTCTTCATCTTCCCTCTTCTTCTAGTAGTGAGTCTGGCGTCAAGTTCAGCCAAAGGTGGCGGCACCTGTAAGTCCAGTGGCAGACTAAAGGGGAAGACTCCACATGGAAAATGCCAGGATAACTGCTGCCAAGCAGGGAAGTCGTACCCCACCTTCCAGTGTTCGCCGCCGGTGACTAAGCGGACGAAGGCCACTCTGACTCTGAACAGCTTCAAGAAAGGCGGAGACGGAGGAGGGCCGGCAGCGTGCGACAACAAGTTTCACTCAGACGACACGCCGGTGGTGGCGCTCTCAACAGGGTGGTTCAACCACAGGAAGAGGTGTCAGAAGAGCATCATCATCTTCGGCAACGGAAAGAAGGTGAAGGCGACGGTGGTTGATGAGTGTGACTCCACAAAAGGGTGTGATGAAGAGCACGGTTTCCAACCTCCGTGCCCTAATAATGTGGTCGACGGTTCCAAAGCAGTTTGGGAGGCTCTTGGTGTGCCCAAGAAAGACTGGGGCGAGCTTGACGTTGAATGGTCTGATGCATAGCTAGAGGACAAGTTGTGGTGCATGCGTACATGCAATAACTAGTCCAGGTTTCATCCGCAAATGTGGCGTCGAATAAAGGAGATCAAAATAAATGAGCGACTGGCTCTTCTGAGTCCTAGTTTTATCCCTGTTGTCAAGAAAAGTGATATGTACTTCTACAACAGCCTACATCTACGTACTGGGTATTATTCCACAGCGTGTGATTGTGTTCTCGGCGACATGTCAAAATTGTATTAAAAGACATTATGTATAATGGGCTATTTGAAATTTATTTGGCAGAAATACCACTTCTTTTTTCTGTTTTTCCAAACAAGTGAGATGTAAACTTTTTAAAAACTGCATGCATCCTATCAATGACAAATATGTCTCAAGGGGTCATTAAATTTCATTTCCCACCTAATGATGCATATGTCTTCCCTAAATTGGCGACAATATTATTTCTCTTAATAAAACGCAAGGATATGGGAGAAAAGGTGTCCTGTATTTTTTTTTTCCCTTTTAAAAAGAAGGTATAAACGCTTAGTGTCATTGATGTCGAAGATTAAAATAGCCAATAGAACCCTAAACTAATAGATCTGACTCGTAAAATGTTGAACAACATGCAGTTATAGGAATAGGCAATGTTAAATTACTAGAACGGCCCATCATGAACTTGAATTATTTTTCAAAGGCATGGAGAACTCCAAGGTTGTGAAGGACGGATTATGATTTGATCCAACGATATAGGGTTAATATGAAATTGAAGCAATAGGAGGAGTTGGAAAAGGCACGAGTGTGCTAAAAGTAGAAACGGATGCTGGGCTCACATGGAAACAAAAGTAGCCCCATCAGGTAATCTGGGCTTGGCCCTGTCTTGTACCACCAGAAACAAAACATACCTCATGAAAGCTAGCGGCTCTTAACCTAAACCACACATGAAACTGCTTCAACTCGAGTGGTAGCTCAGATTCATCCCAAGATCTGGACTTGCTCCCCATATCTTGCGTAACAATCTCAATCTGATCCCCCCCCCCCCTTTTAGACGCAAGTCACTCCAATGGTCCTTTGTAGGCTCCTAAATCGAACCCGAAATCCTTCACAATCCAGAACCATACGCTAATAGGTTTTATGATATGGAAAAATGAACTGCAACAATTCGCTTCCCTAATATTTTAAATTCCATATATTTAGAGAATTTTGCAACCAAACCCATCACCGAGGGTTTTTACAAGCATTGCAAAACACAAGTCATATCTAGACATAACGGCAGCAGAAACTACATCTACAGCATGCTATCTGTAAGAGCCGGAAGCCTTCTAAAGAAATTCACAGGCGCTGGAGGTGCCTTCTGTCGAAGATTTGGGTGCCTCATCAGGTAAAATCCAGCTAAAACCACCACCATCTGGAAGGATGACAAATACAACACAATGGCACCCGCAAGGCAGATGGCCATGAAAATGGCGGTAGCTCGAGGATCACGCCAGCTCAAAAGCGCTTGAAGCCTCTCTCCTTGAGTAGCTATGTCACCAACAACTGTCTGAATCTTCCCAGCAACACTTCTCAACCGATCATACCTAAATCGCACTACATCCGGGCTCCTTGAGGTTGGAAATGTGTCGAATTCCTCATCAAGCTCATCTGGGCTCACAGCATCTGCATGAGATAATCTGGTGTTCATGTGAGGAGGGTACCTTGGACGGAATCTCCAATTCCACATTCCAAGCACAAACATGTAGAGTAATATGGTTGGGAGGATAAGTTCTGGGAAATAAACAAGCAACAGAAAAAGGATGTGAACCAGCACTGTTGTGACAGGATGCTTCCACGTGGAAACATCCCCCAACCATCTCCCTAGTGAAAGAACCCCTGAAAGAAACGACATCACTCTGAAAAAATTTGCCTTGCTACGCCTCATGCTCCAGAGATGAGAGTCTGCGTCAGACATGAACTCAACAACCTCCTTCCTAAGAGGAGGTTCTGCACGGCTGAGCCTAGCTGCCACAATATTGACAGCCTGGTGTCGCAGTCTTTCCTGCTCCATAATATTAAGTGGCTTAATATAGTGCATTTTTGGCAAGGGCGGTTTAAAATACAACTGCAACATGTCAGCCTTTGATGTGCACGTGAATCGTATAGCCAAGTGCAATTCTCCCATTTTCTTGACGCCAGAAGGGTGCAGCATTAGCAAGGGATAAGAGTGTGTGTAAACACGACCAGTTTCAAGGGTTGAGATCCGGATTCGAACCTTTCCAATTTTTGAATCTTTGTTACCATTCGAGCTATTAATCTGCCCATTGTCAAACACCCCCACAGTGAGAACTGTGGCTGGATCATAAACCTCCCAACTGTATTGATCATTGTATCTTGGGTTCAAGCTGTCAATAATGGTTCGGGTTCGCACCCATTTGTGCCCATATTTTGCCACACAGTACGTGTCAGATGTGCCCTTTCCCTCCCTGGTTTTCATTGGATGAAGTCCATCAGCATTTAAAATGCCTAGTTCTAACATGCCGACTGAATTTTTCCAGAGCTGTTTTGCAGTGGGTCGAAGATCACTGCTATAATACGTTGACTCATCAAGTACATGGTATCCGCCATCAAGACAGACACTTAGGTGAAGTCTTCCAAAGAACTTGTCTTTCTCTTTCTTCCCCTGGTCCCCATCCATTGCTGATGACATGGACCTTTCAAGGTGGTACCACATACTACGGATATGTCGATCATCAGCACGCTTTTCAACTGAGTTCAACGAAATAACAGCGTGCCCAAGTGTTTCATCCTTGTTGGGACCAACACGATCTTCAACTGATAGCATCAGATGTTCTTCAAAGGGTTCAGCAGCAACAAACATCAACTCCTGATCCCAACGCAAGTTCATGGTCCTTGATTGAGCAAGTTTTGTCTTTAAAATCTGATTACCAATCTGTACCCTAACATAGGCTTCAGGAAATCGAGACTTATCAGATAATGGTAAGTCCTGTGCCTCAATTACCTTGACCCTTACATACCATAGTCTTGGTGAATGGTAAACTTTTGATCGGGTCTGAGAGGCACTAGTTGCAGAGATTCCACTAGAAGATATTGCATCAGAAAGCCAAGCATCAGGAAAAGCCTCATCAGCCTGTGTGCCATGCCAGACAGCAAGCATCAACTCCCCTTTCTTCTTATTGCCAGTCTTGCCTTCAAGTCGATACCATTCAGGAGCTAATGGACTATCAGGTGGAACCCTCTGAGGAACTTCATGTAGATCAAATCGTACAGTGCCAAGGACATGATCAGCTAACTTGTCTTTGACCACAACTTCAAGAAAAGAGGACTGCACATTGTCCTTTGCAAAGGCAAACACCTCATTCCACTCAGGGTCTTGGTTTTTTATAAAGTGCTTGGTAACGCCTTTGTAGTTTCCAACCCTCACCTCCACATATGGGTCAACACTTCCAGCCACATCCTTTGTGGGGAGATCACGAGCTTTTACAACCCGTACAAAAAGGTAGCCTACTTGTTCAACAAGGTCATAGGTGCCAGCTAGCTTATTCCCACGTATAACTCGTCCCCCAACAACTTGCCCCCCTCCAAGAAAAGGACTTGTCTCTTTCAAGGCATAATCAACAGGAGATGGTGCAAATACATATGCAGCTTTTGAAGCAGCTAATCCAGAATTAGTCTCATTCCTCCCATGGCCTTTTGTTGGCTGAGGAGCTGCTGAGGAAGAAGAATTCTGTTGCTGTGCTTGCTTTGAATCAGCTATGCTATGAAATGTATGCCTGACCTCATTTTTCTTACGGGAAAAGGCATTCAGCACTGACCTTGTAAATGATACTGGTGCTTCACCTTCAGTTGTGTGTTGATCTGTATTGATTGAGGGTTCCGTGACAGGAAGAGGGTCGGCGGATTTGATAGAAGGATCATCTGTGACAAATACCTTCAAACCAAGCTCTCCTTTTACACGGGAAAAGATGTCTTTCCTTTCCAAAGGGTAGTGAAAGACGACAGCATCAGAACAGGGAACAAATGATGTTGCAGTGAGGCGGACCTTACCAAGGAAGTGTTTGGAACTAGTGTTGTGGTGGTAGACAAAGGCATCAAGTGCGAGGTTTGGCAACTTGCTCGGATCAGAGATATTGAAGTAAAAGATTTCATTCCAAGTAGGATTCAGATCTTTTTCTTTGGTTGTAGTCCGAAATTTCCGACCATCAAAATGAAGTTCAACAAAAGCGCTGGACGAACCTTGACCATCTTTTGGCACAAGGTTATGAGCACCCACAACTTCCACACCCAGCTTAAGATCACTCATTGCCAATAATTAGCTTCCAGCAAAAATTAGACAAAGAGAAGCTAAACCTGAAGAACAAGAAATGAAAATGGCTCAAAATTTATACAGAATAACACACAAAGTTCGACTAATAATAATAATAATAATAATAGGAATAGTTGCCATTAATTAGAATTAAACAGACAGACTTGTCACTGTATATTGCATGCATCTGAAAGCCTAACCACAATATGTGCTACCAGCTATGTGCTTAATACTTTGTAATGAAGTAGCTGCATAGCTTCTTATCAACACAAACAACAAACGGTCAGCAAAAGAAAGATTCTGATTCTCTTGTTAGTCTAAAGGAAGCAGATCTGTCTCAATGGCAAAGTTGAAGTGGTATTAATTTACTTCATCATAACAGCGCATACAATGAGTAAAAGAATGCATCTTTACCTGATGCCAATGAATCATCGTATCTTCTTTTCATTATATCATATTATTCTGTTAGATGAGAATTAGCAACGTCACCTGGCGATGTAGCTAGCGGTAAAATTTCAAAATTTACTGAGCATATGTAGGCTTCAAAGCCACTGAAAATGTGAATACTAGGATGTACTCGACCAGCTACACTTTTTGGCTTATCAAAAGAGGTCCCAAACTCCCTAGTTAACATATATTAGTTTCCTTTCAAAGATTTTAATCAACTTAGGACATCAATCTCGAAGGACATATTGCTCCTTATATTTGATCCACCAGTATTTTCCCACCCAAAATATAACAAAACCACCAGTCAGACTTCCTTCGCGAAAACTGGTTCCGGACACAGAAGAAAAACAACGTAAATCAAAGCATACGCCCAGAAAGAAGTGAGGCGACAAGGAAAGGAAAAGGGAGAGTCCCAGTAAAACCAAGTTATTGTTTAACGTTATACAAGAGAGAGGAAGGAGCCCGGCAGTGTCAAAGAACCAAACCCACATCGTTCTTCTCTGTGAGCCAAAAAGCAAGACGAGAATCAAAATAACATCTTCCTATGAACAGAATCAACAAAGAACCATATCATTTCAGAAAAGGGATAAAAGGAAGAGGTTCCTTGTATTTTGACCTTATTACAGGGTATCATGACAAGAATATTCAGACCCCCTGAAGAAAACAAAGTTTTAAAATACAAAACTACTGATCCATGAATTCCCCAGTGATTATGGCTTTTGTTTATTGTTGTGAGGTTGAAAGTTGCTCGAGTTTCTCTACTTCACATTGGATACTATATACCAAAAACACACGAATTTTCTGCTAAACATATAGACAGATAAAGTGATTCTATGTTTAAAAAAATTACTTTCCCAGAACCATAATCAAATTATTCTTTTTAACTTTTCTCAAAAAGCACAAAAGTAGAACAGTTTTCAAGTGATTCTTCGAACATTTCTGCTTGATTGTTAAATCACATAAAAGGGAAATCTCCCCAAGAGAAAAATGTCATCTTTCATCACAAATCCATTATCGTCTGAAAAATTTGCTTACGAGATGCCAAAACCCAAGTGTCAGCAAAATACTCGACAGAGCCCGACAGAAACACGCAAAAAAAGAAGAACAGCAAAACAAGCCCAAAGACAAAAAGAAAGAAAAAGAAAGAAAGGCACCTCGGATTACAGCTTCGAGAAGTGCAGTTGAAGAGCTGAAGAAAAGCCCAATAAAAATCAAAGAAATCGGCGCTTCAAGATCGAGATTAGAAGCTGATAGCAGCAGAGCAGAGTCGTGAGAAAAGAAAGAGAGGAAGATGACTGGTAAGCATTCCCGAAATGGTCTGCCAACTGGAGAGAGAAAGAGAGAGAAGGAGAGTGACTGGAAAGTGATGCGATGACTGAGGAATAGATGAAGAAGAGAGAATTGGGGTTGAGAAGAGAGAGCGTGAGCGTTGGTGGACGCAGGTCCGTTTCCGTTTTGTTGCGTAGTCACAGCGCTTGCTTATGCGCCACTGCCATCAATGCACTGAAAACTTTCCTGTCAGCTTTTGTTTGGCTGGCACATTTTTTCCCCCCTATAATTCCAAAACGTGAGAAACTTTTACTTCTCACTTGAAAAATAAATGGGCCTGTTTCTAATATTCATTTTATATAAAATTGGAAAAAAGATATCATCATTCATAATTTTTAATAATGGGACTTATTCATATTTTTTATATTTTATGTAAATTAATCAGGGGGAGAATCTCATAAAAAAGGCTTGAAATTATTAAATTCTAAATCAGATTTGCTAACAACACTTTAATTGATTTTGATAATATTAGACTTGTAAATAACAACACATTTTTACAGAAAATTTTTTATTTAAAATTTAGTAATTTCAAACTTCTTTTTAAGAAAATATCCCATAATTATGTGCCAACAATTTGACAATGTCGTCATTTTTATTCCTCAATAGATAAGTCTTTTTTAAAAAAAGATTTGTTTACTTCTTGTTTAAATAGATTTAAGGAAACAAAACAAAAACTCTCGCGAAACTATTTATGACGTCGTCGTCAATCTGAATCTAGTAATTGGCTTGTCTTTTTTTTTTTTTGTCTAAAAAGATCAATTATAGTATTAAAATGACAAAATGATATGCCTAGAGTCTATGTCATTCGATAATCTGGAGAATGGGAAGGTAATCAAACATTAGTTATTGTGTCTAAGGAATGACTGGAAAAAGATTTGAGCAGTGATTGCGTGTATACAACTGCTTGTTCTTCTTGTGGTTTCGATGTATTTATTTCCTAATTTTCTTTATTCATAGCATATTTGTCTTGTATTTATTTTTTACGATAAATAGATAGAAATAATGAAGGGTGAATTAGGAGGAGTATTGTGGAAAAGTAAAGAAATCAGAGAGTGAGTCTAAAACAGAGGAAAAATAAATTAAATAATTTGATGAGAATGAAAAGAAGGAAATGAAACCAGTAATTGTATGGCTGAAGGGGAAAGAAATGAGAAGCAGTGAAAGTAAAGGGCAAAGTGTGATTGAAATGTAAGTGCAAATAAAGTTGATTGGCTTCGTTTACCTAACATTGCCATTTACCAGTAAATATAATATCAAACTAAAAAACAAAGAAAAAAATACCAAATAAAAACCCCTCAATATATAAAATTACGATTTAGGACTCTCAATTTGAATAATAGTAAAAAAAGACCCGGTTTCATATTGCAAATATGAAATCTTAGTAAAAATGTCTAAAATGCTTTTCCGCTAAGTGACAAGTTGACTATGAGAAACGGCAAGTTCACTTTAACGAATGACAACTTCAGTAAATCAAATCACAACTTAGCTGAGGGTATGTCAAATGACAAGTTAACTATGGGACATAATAAGTTTACTTTAGCGAATGATAATTTCAATAGACCAAATCACAACTTGATTAAGGAGCATTTCAGATATTTTATCAAAATTTTATATTTGCAATATTGAATCAAGTCTTTATTTACCATTTTCCAGATTGAGAGTCTCAAATCACAATTTCACATATTGGGGGGTTTTTATTTGCTGTTTTCCCAAAAGCAAAAGCACTCCATCTGAACTTTTGTGTCACGTGAATTATTTAAGAACGTTATAATCTTAAGAGACGCATGTTAGTTTTAATTAATGGTGCTGATACTGATATTATTGATTAATTAGTATCAATACCAAAAAAAAATGTTTGGGCTGGGAGATAAGGCAAAATTGTAGCATGCTCATAACTGACAAAGAAGATGAATTGAGTTGGGATGGCAACCATTTTGTAATTACTATGCAAACTATCACTAAGAAAGTGAAAATAGGATATAGAGAGAGAGCAAATTAGGAGGTAGGGAAGGGGACAATTGTTTTCCTAAATTGCCAACAGCTTGGATCAGTCCAACACAAAATTAAGAAAACTAAATCACCAAACTAAGGTTGGATGTCAATTGTTAGTGATCACTTTCTCAAATACTCCTCCGATCCTTAATATAAGACCCATTTAACTAATTTGATTAGATTAAGAAAGTTAGGTAAATTAGTTAATTACAAGAAAAGTGACACATTTTTCCTAAAACACCATAATCATCTTTCTTCATATCCCCTCTCCCTCTTCTACTTGATTATAGTTGGGAGAGTATCCATAGGGATAATTTAGATAAAATTAAAAAATATAAGAAATAGGTCTTATATTAAGGACCAAAATCAACTCAAGAATTGGGTCCTATATTAAGAACCGGAGGAGTATTACATAAGCATGAGGTACAAATAATGCACATTCAACTCTTCGTGAATATGATAGGTGCATGAGATAATAAAACAAAATTAAAGCTGTACTAATGAACTCAAAATCATTCACCAGAAACACCAAAATTTGATTTCCGGTGAAAAAACAATTTTATAATTTTCAAGGCAAAATTGTTTTCACATTATTTATGTTGTCAGCTAAAACTGATTAACGATGAAAACACATGTTAATTCACTTTTAATTCTAAATGATCTTATAAGCCACGAAGACACACATATACATATCGTCTCGGACTTGTTTGGAATGATGGTAAGATTCTTAAAAAGCAGTTTTTCAATAATATTTTATGAAATACAAAATTAATACAGAAGAAAAATTGTCGTGATTTATATAAATAAATGCTTTTTAAGTGTGGAAACGTGATTACAAACAAGCAATGACTCGGGTTGGGATTGATATACAACGTAATTGGAATCACAAATGGGAATGGATTCACAAAAAGAATTCCTCACAGACATTCGTTATTTGATTCTTTGGTTTGGCATTCACATGTGGGCATGGAATATTATCCATGTTCCCTTGAATATTCAATCTCCACCGCCCACTTTTTTTTTCCCCTGTCCCGAAGAAAGACAAAAATACTCCGTTCTTCCTTTTTCTTTTTAGGGGAAGGGACCCACCCACTCAAACTTCACGCTCACACCCACCCACTTTGGTCCTTGTGGGTATAAAACCTCAAATAATAGAAGACCGGACAGGATATTAAACTGACTGATATTGTAGTTTAAGAGTTGATAGGTTAGATCAGGATCAAACCAATCATATTAAAATAATATAATTTTATTAAAAATAATAAAATATAAAAATACTAATAATTACTAATAACAAAATATAAAACAATACAATAATAGTTTGATTGTAACAATAATAAAGTATAATAATATTGCAAATTTTAATCTTTATGATTCTTCAATAACTAAAATTAATAGTCATTGATACCAAAATTATCATTAAAATTTATTTAAATCTATAATGACTGAGACATTAAAAGCTAAATGAAAAAAAACAGGACAAATAACAATATAATCATTCAAACCAATTCATTACTGGTTTACACTAATTCAAACCAATCCCTAATTTAATCTATGAATCAAACTGGACTATTGACCGATTCACCACTTAAAGCGGTCAATCCAATTTGGCTTTTTTTACTTTGTAAAATCCACAACGTCCTCTGTGAAAGGAGGTGGGGGTGCCATTGAACCAAAAGGTTCTTGGCATGTTCTCTCTCCTTTTTTTTTTTTAATAATATTAAAAACATTGTAAGAAAGCATATCAACAACAAATGATGTACAAGATGTTTAAAAGTAATTTTAATTGAAGAAAGATGCATGTATATATTTATGATTGAAATGAGAGTAATAATTAACATCATCGTGGTCATTATCAAATGCCAAAATGAAAGATGATGAGAGAGCATGATGGGCAGCAGAAAAATGAGCAAGTGTAGTTGTGGGGTCGCTTTCTCACTTACCTCTGTGGCTCTGTCCCCATTTGCTCTGTTTGGACAGTCGCCTTATATTGTGAGAATATTGTAAAAAGCCTATCAATTTTGTGTGGCCCCTTTCATATTTACGATTTAGGCATCACATGTGGGTGACCATCAGTCACAATGGTTCAACACAAGGTCGGTGACTTACATAGTACTTCCTCTCAACTACTCTATAGCTTCACCTTAGTATCCCATTCATCTACCTCTTAAAATTTTCAGAATTCTTTCCATGTCCTCCCCTATTAGATCTGTCCCAAAATATAAACCAAAACTAACAACTTTTCTTTACTTATCAATGCATGACTTTTATTCAATGTCAGATGTATTTTGAAAAATTAAACCAATCATGATGCTCATCTATATATGACTTTTATTCTGTTAAAAAATAAAATGTGAATAATTACATGAACGCAGCTCTGGCGTTTAAAATGACTATCTGTAAGCAAGGAATGTAAACTCAACTGTGAAAAGAAGAAAAAAAAGGCCTGAAAACTAAGACTCTAAACAAACGTCCAGCCAATGTTCTCTTCCCTTAGATTGAACTCGCCGGATCAGACCATTGTTTCTATCTGCGATGTGTTGGAGGTGTTGAGAATCATAGGGAGGAGGCAGCTCGCATGGAGATTCTGTACTGGGTGACTCAACCCTCGACTCGTTCAGGAACTCCTTCCACACCCCTTCCATATGGCAATCCTTTACCTCTGAACAAATCTCAACGGCTCCTACTGGTATTACTGGCTTGAATCTCATTAGACTTGCGTACTCTCTCAGAACATGAAGCATATAATCATACACATACTTCATTTTCACTTCCTCTTGCAGAAATTTTAGTCCTTCTTTCCCTATTTTTTGTGCCTGCATGTACGCCAATTTTTCCATTTGTTAAAAACCTATTCACATAATAAATATTCTGATTTCATATATTTGTAACATGCGAATAAAACTTTTTTTTTTTTTAACAAAGTATTCATCATATATGTATTTCGAAACTTGTTCATACTGATAAAAACGTGATCTGATCAAAATCACGTTTTGACCAGAGTAATGCGATGAAAGTTGTAAAAACTTGTTTCTAGTAACTAAAAAATCAAAATTGGAAGGATGAGATATATATATGTGCAGAAGAATGACCTGCTTAGGATGGGAATTTCCCCAATTAACTGCAAACTTGATGTCTTTGCACATATGATTGGGTCTGATGGGCCAATAATGTTGCAGGGGCACCAAACTTCTTGTGTAGAAATCATAGTTCTTTGGTTCTATGAACATAGTCATGGAGTCACATGCCAGTATGTACTTTTCACTCACTGACCACGACCTTCCCTCCGCATAAATCTTGTACCTTCAAGTCAAAAAACATATAAATAAACCTCACATTAGAAGCTTGTTTCAAAAGGAGAAAAAAGGTCAACTTAATTATGATTGACAATCATGTGTATGAAAACTCTGGAAAACTTTACCTATAAGTACATTGATTTTCTAGCTTTGTGTTCCTGAAGTTTTGTTGGATCTCCTTGTCCCAACTCTGCAAGAGAAACAAATTTAAAGCGTCTTGTGGTTAAATTCCTCCTTGTTCATATGCATTTAATAACTTGACTATAACAGGGCTGCACTTGCAGCAATAACAAGAAGAAGAAGAAAATATACCAAGGAATATACATGAGCATAGGACTCATGTTGATGGGAAGCATTGCACTTGAGGAGGTTGCCCCTCACACGAGAAGTAGTTGGGTTACCCTTCCAAAAGGCATAAGGAATCCTATCCTTCCATTTGATCTTCTTGTTCCCTTCTTCTATATCCTTCAGTACTCTCTCCCACGGTCTTATGCTGAGCTCGCCCCTAAATACATAAACACAAAGGTCATGATAAGAAAAACAGCAAATCATGTGCATCAATATACTCTTTCGATCTTTAATATAAAACTTAATTATTAAGTTAATTTTGATCCTAAATATAAGACATATTTCTCATATTTATTAATTTTTTCTAAATTACCCCTGTGATACTCTCTTAACCATGATCAAGTAAGTGAGGGGACCATAATCAATCAAGTAAGGGGAGAAGAATATTAAAAAAAAGATAATTATAATGTTTTAGAAAGAATATGTCATATTTTTTATAATTAACTAGCTTACTTAACTTCCTTAATCTAATCTTATATCAGCGACCGAGGAGTAATACATATACTTATATAATGAAAGTGGTGAAAAATTGAGAAGTTTTACCAACCCCAGAAGCTCCAGTCTGGAAACACAATGTCAAAGGTAGAATCGTCCCCACAATAATGAAACACGGGAGGCGGCACCACAGACGGCATGCTTGCATGTGATCCCAGAAAGTCTCTTTTGTGGACCTTGCTGAGATCCCCACAATGAAACAAGAGCTCCAAATCGGGGACCTGCCCAGGGTACATCTTGAGAAGCTGTGAGATTCCCCATAATGTGAACACGTCCCTCGTCTGAAATGACCTCCTATACGTCTCCACGTAGGCTTTTCCCTTGTAAATCACAAGCTTGAAGTCTGCCAGGCTCTTGTCGAATTCCAACATGTTCCTCGTGATCCCTGTCCTCTTCCAAGGCTTCAAGTCCTCATGGATCCACCGGAAGTACTCCGGGCATGTCAAGGACGACCGCGACGAATTCCAAGATGGTGGCGGTGGCGGTGGCGGTGACGTTGACGGTGACGGAGACGGAGACGGGGATGACGATGCGGGCGGTGAAAAATTTCCGTTGAAGCAGTCCCGTCGGGGAGAGGCATTTTGGTTTGTGAGAAAAGAAAAGCTTGTGATTTTAGACTGAAACACAAGAATTGGAGAGTAGTTATCATCTTTTCCTCCTATCATCTCAAGGGTGGGGGAAGGAGAAATACTGTATATACAGTTATGCGCATGATAAAGTATACATGCCCGATCGTACCGAAAAAGAATTAAATTAAAGCGAACTTTTGTGTTTAATTTGTACTTTTCAGAAATTATGCCAAAAAAATACTAAAAAAAGGGAACATACAAATTAAAATTTAGGATTTGAGCTTCAAAATGCACTAATTAGCGGGGTAAATAGCGTGGTCGGTCGTATCACGTGTAGGTGGCCAGCAGAGTGGATGGGCTGGGATTTGGGAAGAAGATAGATGTCAGTCCACTAGAGGACCTCATTCGTCCCCATTCCTAAGAAATTTGAGAGGAGGGGGCGGGGGGGACAAAGGCTCGAGCATCCAAACCACCCAGTGGGCCGACAAAATGGCCCAATCCGATCTAATTGTTGTTATTAGACCCGGAGGGGGGGGGGTTGGGGATCGGGAAAGATGAAAACGAGAATGAGAATATTAGAGTGGAAGACACTGCCGTCTTCCCTTCCCTTGGGCGTAGTCCCTCCATAGAGATTTGATTCAGCTAACTAAATGATTAAACCCCAGGAATCTGAATGCTTATATAGTTGTAATAGCAGAACAGCACAATTCATTCAATCCATTGCTGTGCTCTGTCTGTCCTCAGCTTCTTCTCCAGCCAGCACAACAATATAATTTTTTTTTTAAAAAAAAAAACCTCCGAAAGCAACACTTATTGAAACGACTGGTTGCCGATCGATGAACTCCAACACCAAGAAACGACTAGACGAAACTGGTGTTTCTGTTTCGAAGACAACAAAACTGCCGTCTCGCCAAAAAGCGTAAGTTAAGCGGGAGGACCAAAGTCATATAATTTGCGATAGAATAGAGAGAGAGAGAGAGAGAGGTTAGGACATACCAGGTCGAGGCGCCAGTTGAAGAGGAAGGTGGCAGAGACAAAGAGGAAAGCGATGAGGACGGGGACGAGAGCAGATCGGCCGAAGCCGAAGCTTAACATGTTAGATGGATGGATGTCTTTTCTTTTCTTTTGAGGCGGGCGAGTGAGGGAGATCAATCAAAGGAAAGATTCCGACATCCCCCTTTCTGACTAATCCCTTTTCATTTAGATGCCACTTGGCTTCCTCTCCCTAGCCTCCACCCGATGATGTTTATTTTTCCCTCCATTAAACTAAACTATTACACACATAGAAGGCTCCCGATTGAAACCCTCTTAAATGAAAACAAATGTCGTCATCACCAACTGTTCAAACCCATGAATGAGCAGTCAAAAATGAAAGCTGTGAGGGATGCTTCCTTTGATTACTCAATCTCACAGCGCCTCATAATCATTCTCTTCTTTATATTTGTTTTGTGGGAAGTGATAAAATATTGGATGGGCGATTAAAATAGACAGGATACATGTGCGTGGACTTTGGGAGGGCCAATAGGGAAATAGGAGAGCATGATTCATGTCAGAGGCAATTAGTGAGCCATCTTCCTGGTGATGCTCCTTCTGCTCATTCCTCTTCTGCAATTCCAATTTACAATTCTCCCTCACAGTGACTCTTTGCGTCCACTTAGCACTGTTCCCCCAATTCGAAAAAAAGGAAAAAAAGAATGCTTCAAATATCTGTTTAGGTGGAATCTTTTACTCGTTTTCATTTTCTTTTTCAAAGTTACTACTTTCAAAATCCGGCGATAGGCTTAGAGTTATTTGGCTTCCTATGGCTGTGCTGTGGACACGTGGATGCCTGGCGTCTAAAATCGGTGCAAAGTCCGATGGCTCTAGATTTTCATTTTCACACGCAGACTTTCGCATCGGCCAAAAAACAGACTTCTGCACACGCCGTTTTTGACCCGTTGCGTGTGTGACGAGCCCAGCCCCATGTCATATATCTCTATCACTATCATCGATGCGTAGATATATAATGTAACAAGTCGTATTATTTACAAATTATTATTAGTATAATCCATTAGTAGACTCCATATATATATATATATATATTTAGAGAGGCCGTGTTGTAACAGAAAAATAACATGATGGAGAAAATTGTAGTGAGTGGACAGAATTCGAATAGCACGCATTTCTGCAGAAATCACTTTGTGCTCCTAGTAAAACTCCAGGCTCCACCATTATTATTGTTAGGGAGATGGGCAGAGATTGCCTAGAGAAGACGTCCACCAAGGAGGGTTGACTGGGGATGGAAACAGCGACTTTTGCAAGAAATTAAAGGGTGCCTTCTCATTGATGTCGCCTACCTCCCCCCTACTATTTGTGTCTTTTTTCACACGTCTTTTTACCCTCATCAATCTCACACCCTACCTTTTCAGTCTAAACAATACTACTCCGATTTTAAATATAAAACTTATTTTGTAGTATAAATTATATTACAAAATAGATCTTATATTTAGAATCGAAAGAATACCAAATTATCCGGCCGTTTGGCCTAACGTGTGTTGAAATCCCCACATTATCTTCAAGGGGAATAAATTAAGCAAGTTGGGGACTCAAGTGGCCTCGTGGCTGCTCACAGCTGGACCAATTAATTTCGACACATTGGTGGTCCTCGACGTATATCATGGGCATGCCCCATAAGTCTATTCCATCCCACGTGACGCTACTGACTTAGTCAACGCTATATATCTCCCTCACTCTCCTTAATGCTGAGGAAAAGAGCATAATATTCTAAGCTGATGTTACGTAACACCCATAGTTTGATTTAAGACACTTCACTCATTCGCCATATCTATCTCAAAGCTAATTATAGGTGGAATTGCGGTCTTTATGCTCTTTGACAAATGTGCGTGACAATAGGAGGGCAAAATCATCCAACACTTGAAATCACCTCTAATATAGGAACTATGCAAATAAAATACTGGATTTCACTTGACTCTTTCTTATATTTTTTTTTCAAACTAATTTATTTAACCGATAAATTGATGTATAAGTTAACCTTATATAAAGATTTTTTTTATATGACTATCTGATTAGGTAGATCAGATTTAAGTATTGTTAGACCCAATTAGGAGTAGCTCTCATAAAAATGTTTTTTGCATTCACACAACTAACTTACATACAAAGATATTTTAGGAAGATCATGTTATATTTGTTATGATCAATTAATTTATCCTATTTAGCTAATCCATCTAAATTAATTAAGTAGTTTTTATATTGAAGTCACGAGAGATTATCTTTTCTCTTCATGCCCTGTGTGTGTGTGAGAGAGAGAGAGAGAGAGAGAGATGACTTACAAGGTGGAGCCAATTGAAGATGAGAGTGGGGGTAACAAAGAGAATAAGGAGGAGGAAGGAGGAGATAACAGCGGGTGATGACGAACAAGATGAAAGCCAGCATGATCTCTTGGCTGTTCCCAATGACTGTTGTGGATGATAGCCTTTCCAGGAGGCCGCCATGGACATGCTCTTGCCACCAAGCTGATACTTCCAACTGCCATGGAATTAATAATATAATATAATAAACACGGTTCAAAGCTTGTTTACCAGTGGAACTCAAATAATATACAACTTTAAGTGGCGAATCCACTGTTCACGTCATTTAACTCTGCTATATTATATTATATTATATTATGTATTGATTGATATGGAATACCTATTTTAAGTAAACTAAGATTATTTTTAAAAAAATATTCAATACCTATTTTAAGTAAACTAAGCTTTTTTTAAATATTCATGTAAAATGATTGCATTTGCACCAGTGATCTATCCACGAATGACGAGACGAGTAAGGAAAGCATCATCTTTGTCGTTTGTACCCCAAATACAACTTCAGAGGCGTCCTGTCCCAACATGCAATGATAATAACCGATGGGGAGAATCTGAGATAGTACGCACCCGAATTTCAAGAAAAATGTTCCCTTCTTTCTTTGAGAAACATCTCAAGAAAAATAATTTTTTTAATTAATATTCTTATCGGAGATTTCAAAACCTTGAATGTTACACGAGCTTGTAAATGAAATGATTAAGGGTATGTTTGAGTGAATGAAAAAAAAGGGAGGGGAGGGATTTTAATGGAGGGGAGAGGAGAGTGGAAGAATTTTAATATTATCTTGTTTGGATTTATAAAAAAAAGAAGGTAGGAGAGGGAAAAATATTTTAATATGGACAATTTTACTCTTATTTTATTTAAGATATGAGCATAATGATCACAACATAGCAAAATATGGACATAATAGTCACAACATGATAAAATATGGACATAATGATCACAACATGACAAAATATTACTCCTCCGGTCCTTAATATAGGATCCAATTTTTGAGTTGGTTTTGGTCCTAAATATAAGACCCATTTCTCATATTTATCAGTTTTCTCTAAATTACCCCTATAGATACTCCCTCAACCATAATCAAATAGAATAGGGAGAGGGGTATTAAAAAAGATGATTATGGTGTTTTAGGAAAAATGTCACTTTTCTTATAATTAACTAATTTACCTAACTTCTTTAATATAATCAAATTAGTTAAATGGGTCTTATATTAAGGACCGGAGGAGTATCTTTTTTCTCCAAATCCTCCCAATTTTGGAGGGGAGGTTGAGGAGGAGAGGGGAGGGAAAATTTTAAAAAAAATTTCATCCCCTCCTAAATTTTGTGTGTTGCCAAACAAAAAGAAATAATTAAAATCCCTCATCTTTCCTCTCTTCCCTTCTAAATCTCTCATACCAAACACATTCTAAGGATGAGTAAGGAAATGTGACGAGAAGGCTAAAGCATGCAGAACTAAGAGCATTAGACGCACAAGACAGAAAATCACCTTTGCAATTCCTCAGTCTCCTCTCTGCAGTCTCTGTTTTCGAGCATGCCTTCCCTTCTTCCTTCTTCCTCAGTGCCATATCATATCTGCTATTTAATGCCTCCACCCTGGTCACAAAGTTCTTGACTTTAACTAACTAATTGAATTAGTTAATTATTCATCATGCAAAAAGGAATTGCCATTCCAAATCATCTCTCCTCAACATTACCTAAATTGGCCTTAATTTCCTTAAGGGTGATGGCTTTTTCGGCTAACTTAATTATTTCGAATAGTTAATGGCAGAGATTCTTTCAAGATGCAAATAGTCTCGTTTATTTAATTTCTTATTAAGCTTATTTTTTATTTCATTTTCTGTTATTATTATTTTTTTATCCAAATGAATTTAAATGAGGGACATATCAATTTAAAAAAAAAAAAATGCCTAGACGTAATACAGTGTTCACAGTCCAATAGTAAAACTGTCTACGCATCAAAATCTTACCAAAATGTGTTTGGATTAGAGTTTTTAGAAATACAATAACTTAATTAAGAATTTGCAAATTGAAATTTGATTAAAAACCAGTCATTTATTTAAACAATACTTAATCTGGCTTCTGTGTAGCCAATATCCTCCACTACCTTTCCATTTTATTTAAATGATGTCTGATTTTTAATTTGCGCTTCTTCTTTAAAACAAACAAACAAGCATGACGTATTATTAACGCATATAACATTATGAGCCATCTTTTTAACTCTTATCAAATCTCTCCTCTGGAACACCAAAAGTCATTATCTTACCAGAACTTTGGCAATTCTGGTGAGTCTTTTATAGAGTCAAATTTATACCCACAATGTAAATCTGCAAAGTTGACGTGTAAACTGATTATAAATAAAAATGCAAGCCAATTAAATTCGTATATCTACAAATGATAAAAGTATAAGACTAAAGAATATTATATACAAACCCTCAAATGCATGACAGCTCGCATAAAAAACATGCAGACCGACATAAACTAGAAAGAAGCAAAGGTAGAAGCAATACACACAATCGCGTATAGATGTAGGGAAGTCTATGATGTGCATACACATAATAAGCAAAACAGAAGACCTGAAAGAATTTATAAGGATTTGCATTGGGTGCTCATCAGGTGATGAGCACCCAATGCTCATCACCCATCTGGACCGTCCAGATCTGATCTGGACGGTCCAGATTTATTTTTATTTTTTTAAAAATAATTATTTTAATAGGTATAAGATAAAAAATAAAGATAATCTCATAACTATCATTCTTTAAAAATATAATTTTTCTATTTTAAAATAATTATTTAATAATATTAAATATGGACCGTCCAGATTAAATCTGGACGGTCCAGATTGCTCATCAGGTGATGAGCATTGGGTGCTCATCACCTAATGAGCACCAAATGGGAACCCGAATTTATAATCTCATCAAAAACTGAAGAAGAAAATCAGTGACGTCTTTAGAGAAATACAAATGTACCAAGCCTCACAATTACAGCAATATGCTGATGAACAGAGGGAAGCAGAGAAGAGGAGGTCGACAGGGGAAAGGATTAGACACCAAAATTCCACACACCCGCTAAAACCCTAATGGCCCTCCCTTCATATCCAAATAAGCCCAGTTGAGGATCTTCCGTTGGGAAATCCTAGCTGCTTCTTGTTCCACGACTCCTTGTCTCTGCCCACCAGGGCATAGCTGCGTCGGGACTTTTGTCATACATGGACTTGGACATTGGGAGTAGTTGGCACAGGTAGTGAAGCAAAAGTAGCTGCTGTTAAGGTTGGCCTCCAATTCAGCTTAGATATTGTTCTCGAGTCCACTCTGACTCTGCCGAAGGCATGCACCAACGTCCCTTATATGGGGGACAGGGGAATGACTTTAAGCTGCAGCAGCCGAGAAGAAGGATAAGGCATGCACCAACGTCCCTTAATTAACTCTTTAATTAACGATCCTGTTTCTTTTCCTTGAATTGCCTTGTGTCATTCAATACAGATTCTGAGTGCACCTTTCCTCCCTCAGTCTCGCCACTCCCCACCCAATCCCTCGTCGTCGGTGCTCGGCTGCTCTGTGTCGTCACTTGCAGGCAAACATTGGGCTCTCTCTTCTCCGCCGTACCCTCTCACGTATTCCCGCCACCTTCCCTTTCTTCCCCACATGCATTCAAACACCCCTTCAATTATCTTGCAGTCGTTACTACTACTGTTTTTTTGTTTTTTTCCTTCTCATTTTCATCACCCTCCTCTTTCAAATTCCTTTCTTCATTTTTCTTCTACTATCTCATACTTTCTTTTCCTGCAGGGAGGAAAAATTTTAAAAAATTTTCCCTCCCTTCTCCTCCCCTCCTCAACCTTCCCTCTAAAATTGGGAGAATTTAAAGAGAAAAAACAATATTTTATTACATTATAACTATTGTACTTATATTTATTTTTAATATCTCTATATTATTCTAATTTTTTTCTTCTTGTCTCCAGACATTGCTCTCTCATTTATATGTAAATGTGAAATTTGAAAAGATAAAATGGACAATTCAATGAACAAAGTTTTGAGGATTTAAATTTTGACATATAAAAAAATTTAAATCCTAGGAGCTTTGTAGCCATAAAGATAAAAATCGATAAAAATGATGTCCCATGTCTAATGAACTTATTTGTTTGACCAAATATTTTATTCAAAAATATAATACAGTACAAGTTGTGGTTAAATATTATTTTAGTTTTTTTTCAATAATATTTCACGCTCTAAAATATATTAGAATTTTGATATAAATATTACTCAATATATTAAATGTTATTTACAATTCTATCTTATTAAACATTCTATAAAATTTGAAAAAATAATCTTAAATAAATAAGGATAAAATTGTCTACGTTAAAATATTTTTCCTTCTTCTTCCTCATGAATCCAAAATAAAGTAATATTAAAACTTCTTCCTTTTTTTCTTTTTTTATAAATCTAAATAAAATAATATTAAAATCTTTTTTCTCTCCTGTCTTCTCATTCCTTCTATTAAAATCCCTTTCTTCCTCTTCCTCTTAGCCAAACAGACCCTCCGGCTTCATCTCTGTCTTCTGCAAAAACAAAACAATAGACCCCACAATCCCATCCCTGTCTCTAACCCAACCGGTTGTTTAAAATCTGTTCTGGTTCGTGGTCGAACTCCAATTTCCGGCTCAAATCCGGTTTAAGACGGCTCAACTCGGCTCAAACACGGTCCAAACATAAAAACGAGCCGGAGAGGTTTCTGGCCGGTCCGACCAGCCGCATGCGTGCGCGTTTGGCTTCCCACGGGCCACGACGCAACCAAATCCGCGCTTTTGCATCCCACACCAAGCGATTGTCGTACTCCGCAGTGGGGGTTCCTTGGGAGGTAACGGACAGAATCTGAATGCCTGCCTGGGAGGGTTCAGGAGGGGTTTTTCTATTCTTTGAATTTCCTCCTCTCAAGTGTAGAGGGGACTTTGCTCCTTATTTTCAAAAGAATTCTGGCTCTTCTCTGTGAATGTGTTACACCGGAATCGCCACTCAATCGCAAGTAGTTCAGCCATTAGTTCATCTTCGCACTGGTTCAACCATGTTCTTTTCATCACTACTATTTCGTTTGCTATTGAAGTTGTGGTTATCGTTTTTCGGTTATGGAATTGGATGGGCTTTTGTCCGATGTTAGACTTTAATCCTCATTTTGTCAAACGTTTGATTTGGGTGGGGTTTTGTTTTATGAATAAGCCATGAGCTGCTATTAGGGACTCATGTTAGCTGGGTTTTTCCTTGTATTTGAAGGATGAGCTGCTCTGAACATATCTGCTGACGAACTGTTTCTTGATGTCAATGAATTCAATCCACTATTGCTCATCGAGGATTTCTGAAGTGTCTGAATACATGTTTTGGACTTTTGTTTCTTCTTCTTCTTCTGGTGACACAGAATACAAGTAAATTTGAAATTGGTCAATTGATAAAGAGATGCTGTACATACCACCGTGGTCGATGTCCAAATCTATTCCTTTCCTTGCTTTATATGACAATAGAGATTCCATGAAAGGGAGCCTATTTCTTCTACGAATTGTTATTATTCTTCTAGCACTTGTCCTGGGCCATTGCAAAAGCTACAAATTCTTTGAAATACATAAGTTGTATATTTCTTCCTAATTTTGTCAAGTCATTTCTTTCTTTCTTTCTTCAATGTTATTAATAATGAAGTTCATTTCACCTAGGTTAAAAAGAAAACAACAAGAATCTCTAACTTAAAGTAAAGTTTGGTTAGTAAATATTTCAAATCATTTAGCGATCTTCCTTTTCTACAATGGTAAGCATGATAACTTTGTATCAAGCATTTATGGTGACAAGCATTTAAGCAGCTTAGATATTGACATTTCTATAGCAACAGATATCCTGCAAGTCTTTAATTTTATCTGTTGAGACTAGTATAAAATGAATTTGGACATGCATATTTATGCGGTATACATTCAAATTATATCTTTTTTTCACTTTTAATTTATCTATTTTATTCTTATTTGTGCCTCTCATGTCATTCTGACTTAACACTCATTCAAGTATTGTTTTGATTTCATGTACAACATTTTGCTCAAAGAAATGGCGGTACGATTTTCTGTAACTTGGCCTCCATCATATTTCATTTCGCCAATGAAACAGATGAAGTTTAACTCCCCCAATTCATTTTTTGGTGCACATTACCTTCCCCAAATGAAACAAGGCAAGACCAGGGAGGAGTGTTTGAGCCTTTCATCAAATCTCTCGAGCCTGTCTTTTCAGGTGCATCCATATTTTTGTCATAGCGATCACAATATTCTTTTAGATAGGTTTGCATAATATCCAGCCAATCTTCATTTGTTTCTTTTCCGAAATATATATGATAAGAATATCAAACTTGAAACAGGATGCTTTACCGAAAAGAATAAGGATCTCAAAGAGGATTGAAGCACTCAAATCTAGTGATGCCAGTTGGAAGAAAAAGCAAGAAGATTTTAGTGACAGTGATGATGAGACAGATGCACAGCCTGCATTGGAAGAAAATGATCCTTATTTAATGAATCTTGAAGAGAGACAAGAGTGGAGGCAGAAAATTAGAGAAGTGATTAGTATGTACCCTAATGTTAAAGAGGAGGTAGACCCTGTTGAGAAAAAGGAAAAATTGCAAAAGCTTCTGAAGGATTACCCTCTTGTTCTTGAGGAGGATGATCCTGACTGGCCTGAAGATGCTGATGGGTGGGGATTCAACTTGGGACAGTTTTTTGACAAGATTACCATTAAGAACAACAAAAAGGTTGATGATGATAATGATGACAGTGATAATGAAATAGTATGGCAAGATGATAATTATATACGTCCCATCAAAGACATAAGAAGTGCAGAATGGGAGGAGACTGTATTCAAAGACATAAGTCCATTGGTAATTATAGTACACAACCGATATAAAAGGTTTGTTTTACTTTCAGTCTCTGTCTATAGAAATCGCTGCACTCAGACAGGTTCCATCTTAGCTTCGTTCAAATAGAGCCAGAAAAAATGGGTCGGTAATGCTTAAAGCAGTTTTTCATTGTTTTAAAAGAAGTTTTGAATGACTTTGAAACTTGAAAGGCTCATTTTGTGACTAGTCATCGTTTTGGCTGTGTGATTATTCATTCTAATATGTCTTTGAGATGAGCATTCTGAAGATGAACAAGTACAAGGGTATTGCAACTTTTTCTTGATTATGTTTGGTTTTAAGCTGCTGTCATTTTATTGGGTCATTTCTTCTATTTTCCCCCTCGCCTCTCTATCTTTTGAATTGTCCTTGACTTATGTTAAATTTTTACACTATTTTTCCCTCACACCCTTATCCGATATATTTTCCATGCTTGCATGTTGTCATTATCTTCCATTCTTAATTCTTAAATATACGTTGTTTGGTCTGCCAGAGGTAGAGAACACCTAATATTATTTGTATATGCCTAGTTGTACCATGACATGCATCTATGTTGTATTTGCAAGCATACACCAATTCAAGTCAAATGCTCACGTTTACTGATTTTTTTCTAGGCCAAAAGAGAATGAAAGAATTCTAAATGAAGTGGAAAAGGCTGTTAATATTATATGGAACTGCAGATTGCCTTCGCCAAGAGTAAGTGAAGCATTGTTATAATAAATGTCTCTGATTTCTGCCTCCCCATGATATCCATAATTTTCCCTCACGTAATTTTTGTCATATTCTCAGTGTGTTGCAATTGATGCTGTTGTTGAGACTGATCTCGTCGCTGTTCTTCAAATATCAAGCTTCCCGGAACTCATCTTTACCAAAGCTGGAAGGATCTTGTTCCGTGAGAAAGGTAACGCTGTTCCTTATCATACCAAGAGAAAGAGTAATCAATTACGATCCCTTCTCTTCCAGATGTCCAAATCAAAAGATTGTGAATATAGACTTATGAGATCAAAAGATTGTCAGAACATCTTAAATGTATAATATTGATTTGTCTTATTTAAACTATAATTTATTGAAAAAATTATTTCATAAATTTTTGACATTGCCTAGTTGATAATTTTTGTTGTTTAATATATATATTTATTAATATATTTTAGTGATAAATATACGACAAATTTGATCAAAGTAAACATGACTGTAGTTTATTTTTGCTGGAGGAGATGTTGGTTCACATGAGGGAAGAAACTGTAATTCAGTCATTTAAACTGTTCATTGTTCATAGGGTTACTTAGTAGCTCTGTTTTGGGCTCTATATTCTTGATTTTTCCTTTAAAATATAAAATTTTGCTATTCTTGTTTTATTTTCATTTGAACTCCTTTTGTTAATTTAATGATATCGTATTTTAGGTATCTTATGTAGCACATGGATCAGAATTTTAACTTTGTGTGATTTGAGGTTCATAAGGAAGAGGAGTGTAATTTTCTCACAGAAAAATGTATTATCTGCCTAACAAAATTATAGTGAGTATTGCATTAGTTATCATTTTCTTGGACAAAACATTGCAAGTGAGCTCTTTAAAGCTTTACATGATTAGAGTTGTTTGCGAAAAAAAAATTTCTCTTCGTGTTCCATTTTTATGGAGAAAGAGCTTTACTTTTTGTAATTTGGGTTCATATTCCCCTCTTAGTTCTCCCCAGCTAACTAGACTTTTCCTTTTGATGGTCATAGGGATTCGAAATGCAGATGAGTTGTCAAAAATGATGGCATTCTTCTACTACGGAGCAGCAAAACCATCCTGTTTAAATAACATTACAGATTTCCAAGAAGACATTCCTTCTCTTCCTATCAATAATCCAGTCTCTTGAAAATATATTATTGTGAAATCAAAATAGAGTTCAAGTTTATGGGCTTAAGCTGCTTTGCCCTTCCGCATTTTCTACCTTTCTGTCAGAAATGCAAGAAATATGTACAGCTCCTTTGACTCTTGTATATATCTGTATACGCTGTACAAGTATGGGTATGTCTGCCACTTAGGAGGGAAGGGAATGTGAGGAGACATGATCAGTTTAATTGGTAATTTATTAAATTTTTTGTTTTGATATGGGTTTCTTATTGTAATCTTTTGGATTAGGAGAATATAAATGGGTAAACACGTGTTCGGTATTGTGATGCTGAAACAATGGGTTAGTGTCATGCTTATGGTGCTCGAATTCAAACGTAGTTGAGGTATAATGCTAGATTAATGGTTGCAAATTTCTTTAGCTGACCTTTTTCCGGTTTTATGTGTGCTGCGAATATGCAGTAGCAAATCTTCTCTTTGGAAACTTTTAACTAGAAATTTGGGGCCAAGAACCTCCTCCTCTTCAAAAATGCATTGCAACTAGAATAACTACAATCTTGTTTGCTATGACGGTAAACTTTATAAAATATAAGATAATTATATAAGAAGAATTTTATTTCGAGTAATGTGATTAAGTGCTTTTGAGGATTCTAATCATGGTCCCAAACAAGCACTGCGTGTTATGCATTGGCACCTCAGGTTGACTTCTATCTTGATGTCTAAATTTTTTTCTTCAAAAAAATCTTATAAAGTGGAGAACATGCAATATGATACAAGTGGGGAAAAAAGGCACTTGAAGTGGGAGAACGGAAAAACAAATGATTAGCTATGTTATGATTCTGATTCTGACGGTTTAAATAATAAAATTAGAGTAAAACATATTGACTACCATTTTATTTTATTTTAATTATAAAAATTCCTTCTCTATTTTAAAAATGTACACACATTTTTCTTAAAATTAAAATATATTACACACAAACCTCTATTTTATGTTTAAGATTACAGTTTCATCCATCCAAAACATTAGTTGACCGTCAAGTTTGACTTTTAAATTTTGTTATGACCAAAATACCCCTTCCAACACAATAATTATATAAACATTATATTTTTTAAAATAAAAAAATAATTCTAATGCATATATTTTTAAAATTTCTGATATTTATAGAATTTATTAATTTTGATTTAAAATATAAAATAATAATTTAGGGATCTTTGTGGGATATCCCTCTAACCAAAAAGGGCGCAAATGCTACTCACCTACCCTTCGGAAATTTTTTGTTACCATGGATGTCAAGTTCCTAGAAAATCACAGTTATTATACCAAGACTCCCATTCAGGGGGAGAACATGGGAGAATGGGAGTTTCTTACACTAGAAATAAATTTTCCAACCCCGGCCAGACTTAAACCAGTACTTGAAACCACCTCTGTCAGACTTGAACTAACCCCTACCAGACCTAAAACAACCTTAATCACCCCAGAAATCCACTCTCCAGATACAAACAGACCTGAATCACCTCAACCTGTGTCTGAACCTACCAAACAAACCCTAGTATAGTACCTAACAATGCTCTACACGATCAAGAAGTGGAGAATTCAGAGAAAGAACAAGGCAGGACAACAGCAAATAATATTCCAAATAGTGGAGATTCTCCTAGTTCAAGGCAAGGTTAAGAGTTATCCTAAGCTTTAGAACTTGATGATGATCTGGGATGGCCAATTGCATTAAGAAATGGGGTAGGACAGTGTACGTTGCATCCAATAAGTCACTTTGTCTCTTATGATAATTTGTCTCCATGTTTGAAAAGTTTCGTGACTAAAATTGAAGAAGAGAATATTCCTTTAATGTTTGATCAAAAGATTAGTGACCCAAGATGGAGAGTAGGTATTAATGAGGAATTGAAAGCATTGGACAAGAATTAGACATGGCAGGTGGTGAAACTCCCATAAGGAAAGAAAGTTGTAGGTTGCAAGTGGGTTTTCACCATTAAGTATAACTCTGACGGGTCTATAAACAAGTTCAAGGCACGCTTAGTAGCAAAAGTTTATTCACAAACTCAAGGCATTGATTATCAAGACACTTTTGCACCAATCATAAAGTTGTTCGAATATTTTTAAAATGAAGAGATGTGTTTTTAAAGAGTCAATCCTTATATAAATTTATTAAATCAATAAATTTATATGAGGGATTATGTCTTCATATAAATTAATACATTTATTTGAAAAGTTGTATTCTCATATAAATTAATATATTTATATGAAGGATTTTGTCTTCATATGAATTAATATATTTATATGAAAGGTTATGTAGGAAGTTAAAAAACTAAAAGACCCTACATATTAAATTAATATAAATTATGTTAGCTCATGAACCAACATATAGTTATGACTTTTTATTTAATAAGGTATTATTTTAAAAAGTATCTCTTCAAGGTATCATTCCATCATAACTTCATTGAGACACTGGATAACACAGTACAAACACTCAAATCAAACTCATTGCCTTTGTCTTTGAGTGCACATAGAAATAGAGTCAAATTATTACTTTGTAAAGAGTACTGTTGTTTTTGGTTGAATCTTAGAAGTACAATCCATATTCAAGGGTTTTTATTGTATCCTGAAGAAAATTCGCTGGACATCCCAACTTGCACCCTATAAGATAGGAATAGGTGGGGGTGAATTCAACTTAAAGGAAAGTGTTGCCCATGCCTTGAAGATATCATGCACCACTTTCTTTTTCATCTTTTCTTTTTGTACTTTTCAAAGAACCATTCTCACCAACAAAAGTTGAATACAATAAGAATACTCTTGTCCCTAGCTGTCAACCTTGATTGGCCACTGTATTAGACGGATGTGAAAAATGCATTCTTGAATGGAGAATTTAGGGGGTGTTTGGGTTCCAACCCAAACCATGGTTTTGGAAAAAGCAAAAAATTTTTACTTTTGGAAGAAAAAAAAGGAGAGTGTGAGAGCCTATAGGATATGTATCTTGTTGTTTTTTTTATAAACATATTTTTTTATAAATATATTTAATCTTATATCTTATAAATATATATACATATTAATTATTTATTAATTATATTATCTTATGTATTATTAATTATGTTAATAAAAAATATATTAACAATTTTATTCCTTCAAATTAAAATATATCATAAAATATATTTTTTCTGTAATTATCATATTAATTTATGCCTTTTTTTAGTAATTTGTATATGTAAAAAGTGTTTCTGGTAACAATTATCCAAACACTCTCACTTCTCATAATCACTTTTTCACAAAATCTATTGTTCAAAAAATCTATTCTCCCCAAAATCTATTCTCCAGAAGCTATTCTCCAAACCATGGTTTGGTTATATCCAAACATCCAATTAAAGAGGAAGTTTACATGAGAATCCTATAAGGACTTGTAGACTATGGTAATCCTAGCATGGCATGTAAGCTATACAAGTCTCTTTATGGCTTAAAGCAATCACCAAAAGCTTGGTTTGAAAGGTTCACAAAGGTAGTAAAGAATTCAAACTACATGTAATGTCAATCAGATCACACTTTTTGTGAGACATCTGGGTGCAAAGGTTGCAATTTTGATTGTGTATGTTGATGACATAATCATTATAGGACGTGATGTTGAAGAAATAGCAAAGCTGAAAAGGATTTTGGTAACTGCTTTTGAGGTTAAAGACTTAGGAAGTTTAAGGTATTTCCTAGGGATGGAGATTGCTAGATCAAGAAAGGTATCTTTGTATCTCAAAGGAAACATACCCTTGATTTACTCAAGGAAACTGGTATGTTGGAAGCAAAGCCATCCCCAACTCCTATGAATTCCTTGGTTAATCTAGACTACAAAAAGGATGGTATTCCAATGGATGCTGAAAGCTAAAAGCGATTGGTGGGAAAGTTAATTTATTTATCCCACACAAGACCAGATATAAGCTTCACAGTTGGAGTGCTTAGTCGATTCTCAGATCAACCATAGGAGGCACATATAGAGGCAGTATATACAATTCTTAGATATTTAAAGATGACACCTGAAAGAGGAATCTTCTTTGTGAAAGGAGACTCTAGAGATGTGGTAGTTTACACCAATACAGACCATGGAAGAACCCGAGTTGACAGAAGATCAATTGGGGGATACTTTACGTTTGTGTGGGGTAACCTCGTAACGTGGAGGAGCAAGAAACAAACTGTGGTTTCTAGAAGCAGTGCATGAGCTAAATTAAGAGCCCTAACAAATGGAGTTTGCGAGGGCATGTGGATAATTAGAGTCTCGAAGGAGCTCAACATTAAATTTAATTCACCCATTAAAGTATGGTGTGATAGCATGGTTGTTCTATAAATGGTTCACAATCTGGTCCACCATGACAAAACTAAGCATGTGGACATTGATAATCATTTTATAAAGGTCAAAAGCGATCAATCTCTCGCACATAAGCTCAGCCTCACAACTCGCAGATATTCTTACAAAGCCCCTAGACTGAATAAAATTCAAAAGTTTTAAAAGCAAGTTGGGCATGTTAGACATCTACCTGCCAACTCGAGAGAGAGTGTTGGTGACTTAACCCTAATGGGTTTAGGCCAAAAACCTTAATTCATTGCTCACTTATTCTGTCACAGACTTAGTCCACTGCTGTTTGAATTTTAAATTTAGATTCTAATTGTATTTCCTTATCTTTTACTCTTTTGGTCCTATTTATAAGGCACTTCTAATATGTTTCACACAGACTAGGAAAAATCTTAAACTGTATTAACTCTTCATTAAAATATAGTAGCTTTCTTGCTTTACCCTTATTTAATATATAAACCTTTAAAAAAAAACTATTTACACTATAATAAATGGAGGATACTATAGTACATTTATGGTAAAAATTTAATGATGTGATTTATAAATAGGACAAAAAAAAACTTTTCTCTCTGCTCTATAAATAGGACCAAAGGAATAATTATTATTTTGATTCCTAAGATCTCAACCTAATCATTAGAATGACTGCTGGATGACCTACTAGGTTAAGATTGATGTATCTATTTAACTTCCTATCAACATTCAATAAAACATAACAATTTTACATTAGTTTCTTTAATACATTGTATAAAATTCCTTCTTTTTGTTTATGAAAAAAGTAACCTTTATTTAACTTTTATTTTATGCATTTTATGTGAATCCGGTCAAACTCGAGTTACTTAAAGGGGTGTTTGGGAAGCCCAATAAGCATTTTTCAGAAATATTTTTTTACAAATATAAACTTTTTCATATATTTATTTTGTATACAGTAAAAACACTTCTAAAAGTTTAGTTTTGATCTTAGCCAGACACTTTTTTTATTTCCCCATTCCCGTAATCCCGGTTCACACTTTCACTTATTATTACTATGAGGAACTAAATTTCGCCGGTTCCTTTTCTGCACAAAGGAAGAAATCGCCGAGTGAAAGAAATCCTCCCGAGCTCTCTTTTCTTTCTACCGCCTATTTTGCTGTAGATCGGCTCAGAATCGGGCCCAATTTTCGGATTCTCTCTTCGGTCCTACAAGAAAGACCCTAGCCATTTTTAATTCTTCACAGCTTGGTATAATACCCTGAAATTTCAAATTTTCTTCTAAGATTTTGGTAGGTTTAGGGTCAATTGCAAGCCATTTCCAGAAGCATTCGTTTGATACCTCCATTTTGCTAGTTGGTAGACCTTCTGACGCTTTGTACATTCTCGGAGATTATTTTTTTGGTGGCGTTGTCTATTTGTTTCTTTGAATCGGTGGAATGAACAATAGAGCAAGATACCCACCTGGGATTGGCGTTGGCCGTGGAGGGGTGAACTCGAACGCTGCGTTTCAGCCCAGGCCGCCTCATCAACAACAGTACGTGCAGAGGCACTTAGCATCGCAACATCAACAGTACCGCCACCATCATCAACAACAGCAGTATCAGCAGCATCAACCGCAGCAGCAGAATCAACAGCATCATCACCAAGAACAACAGTGGCTGAGACGGACGCAGCCGGGTGCTGCTGATTCCAATGCGGTTGACGAGGTCGAGAAGACTGTCCAGTCTGAAGCCGTTGACCCTAGGTGCATTTGTTAAAACAGTTTATTAATTTTTTATTTTATTTTTATCTTGCATGCATCATGACGGGCTTATGAAGTGGAAGCTTTTGTGGAGGTAAGGTTGATGTTGAAAGTTTGCGGCTTGCTGAATTTGTAGAATTGCAGTATGTAGGATTGTTAAAGAGTAACGGATAATATTTTTGTAATTAGTGTAATATCTTTGAAAATCCGATACCGTTGTTCATGGCGCATACATCGATTCTAATAACTTTCATTTCATTTGGCAGTCTTGATAGTAAGTGAACAGTCGCAAGGTTTCTTCTCTGTCCCATCTGGTGAAGATACTTGAGTGTTGAAACATGTTTCACATAGTCAAGAATTTTGTAAGATTTTTATTGTTTTAAAAAATTTGGGATGGGTCTGAAATGATTTTGAATATGGATATTAGAGCACTGAATTGAGGAGCTTCAGTTCTATTTTTCTATTGATTATACTCTCTCTCTCTCTCTCTCTCTCACCCACACACTCTCTTGTCTGGTCACTGGGGTTTGGCCTGTTGTCTTTTTTGATTGTATATGTTTTGTCTCTGCAAATGTTTATTCTTAATTGCAAAGTAGAGATGTTATTTGGACATTACGTTGTTAAACTTAGTGCCCTCCACCTAAGTTTTGACAGAATGCAAAGATTGGAATTTGGGAACAATATGCTTACATGACTAACTGCTCCAAACACATGTCAATTGTGATTACTCTATCATCACTGTTATACGATATTTTATTTTTATTTATTTTTTTATTGAACTTGGGCCAAAGGATAAATTGTGTTTTAATAGCATCCGTGTTCCCCCCCCCCCCCTGCTAGTTCACAAGATTGGAAGGCAAGGCTAAAGATACCACCACCTGATACCCGATACAAAACAGAGGTATGCTTGTGTATGCTATAATCTTATGTTTCTGGTGACTACTCATAGTCGATACATGTTGACTGTTCATTGTTGGGGTGTACACCTTAAGTATGATGCCCGTAATTTCTTGTTATTGCATTTCAATCCATCTTGGATGATGTTTTCTTTTCACAAATTACTATGTACTGTAAGTGTTTGCTATACGCGAACCTTTGAATGGGCATAAATGAGAGATAGGTTGATCCGTGTGTCCTTTAAGAACTTGAGGCTGTTGGGTGGTAATGTGGGGTGTGTGCGTGCGCGCGCGCGCGTATTTTAATTTTTAACACAACCTACGAGCTACGTCACATGTTTGGACTTTGCCTATAGTCTAGAAATGTATGAGGCGTGTGGGAATTTGTGCTCCTTGTGATCAGCAAGTATCATCTAGCTCTATTTTGACAACTTGCGAGATTAGTTTCTTTTAATTTTATTTCAGATGAAGTTGTTCCTTTATCTTGATAAAATTCTATATATCATGCTTGGTTATGGTTCTTCATATTTACATGGTTTTTTAAACATCGAATTGTCTACCTAAAGAACTAATAATCGTATAATGGGGTTGCTTATTTATTATTATTACACGTTTCTCTTGATTATTAGTTCTCTGCAATGCGTCTTCTTTATCTGTTATTTATTAAGCATAATTCTCCCATCTAAAACTTATTTTAATTGCAATTGATCTAGGGATTTTTGTTTCTTCGGAAATGTGAATGATGAGCTGTGAGCTTCAGACCCTTATTTCTATTGTCTGTCTTGTTCCTTTTTCCAGTAGATAAGATGTGAGAGTTTGGAAACTCCTGATCTTCCACTGTTTTTTCTTGCTAGTTCTATATTTGGTTCCTTACTCTTTCCTACCAAGGGTTAGGTTGTTTTTTTTCATCAGAAAACTGGAAATCTATAGCTCCTTCTAAGCTGAAACCCTTTGTTTGGTTCTCAATTCTCAAAACAATAAGTACAGTAATATGATATTTTATGGCCACGTACAGCTTTTTCTCCTATCACGTGCGTGATGCATTGCATAACTGATTTAAAAACTTCTCCCATTTACTTCTTAAGTTTGGGCTTTTGGTCTTGAAATTCTGTTTTGAGCTTGTGCTTGTTCTCTCTGGTCTGTGTATATCGTATCTCTTAAAATTCCTTGACTTCCTCTATTCTCAAATATATTTCTTCCTTTATACCAAAAGAACTAAAAATTATAACATTTATGCTTGCCTTCACCTGCTTATATTATTTTATCCCCAGGATGTAACAGCGACTAAAGGAAATGAATTTGAGGATTACTTTTTGAAGCGTGAGTTGCTTATGGGAATATATGAGAAGGGTTTTGAAAGGCCTTCTCCTATTCAGGAAGAAAGTATACCAATTGCACTTACTGGTAGTGACATTCTTGCTAGGGCAAAGAATGGGACAGGAAAAACAGCTGCCTTTTGCATTCCTGCGTTGGAAAAAATTGACCAGGATAACAATGTTATTCAAGGTTTGATTTCCTCTATATAACTTAAGCTTTGTGCAAAATCTCAGAAGTCTGGTTTAAAGGATTAAATTTGACGAAATTAGGTTTTCATGACTCTTCCTTGTAGCCTACTTCTGATTCTACACTTCATGTTAGCTAGGATCCTTTGACATTTATCAGAATGAGGGTGTTGTCTTAAAATGAGAAAAAGGGGGAGGGTGGTGGAAAAGGAAAAGGAATATATAAAATAAATATGGCTTAACTAGTTTAGAGATATCGTGTTGTGGATATTTCTCATAGAGCAAGTTTGAATCTCCCAATTTGGAGAACTTGAAATAGCTTTTGGTTCTCATTTCAGAATCTAGGGCTGAAAGTATCCAAGGAATTGAGAACATTTGGTTCCTTAAATTGATGTTTTAGGAATATCTGTTATTTTCTTTGAACTGTTTTTCCTATTTGAGACCAGACAATGCTCTTATAATGTTTTTTACGCTTCGAAGATTATGGAAATAAAATTTTGGTTCAAGTTTGTTGAAAATTATTATGGCAGATGACTAGTGGAATCATTAATTTGTGATTCGACTCTTGCTATTTCACTTTAATAGTCGGATTTTACATTATGGGTATTTACTGGTTATTCTTGTCTGTGTTTGTATTTTGTCTATTCGCTTATTATACAATGTCTGATGCAGTTGTTATATTGGTCCCAACACGAGAGTTGGCCTTGCAAACATCTCAAGTGTGCAAAGAGCTTGGGAAACATTTGAAAATTCAAGTTATGGTTACAACAGGTGGTACCAGCCTAAAGGATGATATTATGCGGTTATATCAGCCAGTCCATTTACTAGTTGGAACACCAGGACGAATATTAGATCTTGTGAAGAAGGGTGTTTGTGTTTTGAAAGATTGCAATATGCTTGTTATGGATGAGGTGAATAGATTTTACCTAAAAATTTGAAATGTATGGTTTCTGGTTGATAAGGTTCTAAAACTTACAGTAAATATTGGATAGTAAAAGAGACTTGGGAATATGGCAGTTTGAAGGAAAATGATCTGATAATAAAAATGTGGTTTGATGATCATCTATGTTTTTATGGTCTTTGACTAATATTCTAGGATTATGAATGTGTTTCACTTTATCGTTACACCATTGAGGTGATTACTGGGAACAATGCTTTCACTTTTGCATCTTTAATTCATGTTGGACAGCCAAATCATATTGTTTTTCTTCATGCATGTCCATTTTCTGCCACATTTAAACACTCGTGTTTCTTTACAGTATCAGTTTATAGGATTTTTAATGCTTTTATGCATCTCAGGCTGATAAGCTCCTCTCCCCAGAGTTCCAGCCTTCAGTAGAGCAGTTGATTCATTTCCTGCCTACCAATCGTCAAATCTTGATGTTTTCAGCCACTTTTCCTGTCACCATTAAGGACTTTAAAGATAGATATCTTCAAAAGCCTTACGTTATTAACCTTATGGACGAGTTGACTTTGAAAGGGATCACACAATTTTATGCATTTGTGGAGGAGAGACAGAAACTCCACTGCTTGAACACTCTCTTCTCGAAGGTTGGATTCATCTTTATCATGACACTTGTTTATTACTTTTTCAGCTATGAATATAATGATGATATTGTCTTTTATTGCAGCTGCAAATAAACCAGTCAATTATTTTCTGCAATTCAGTGAACCGAGTTGAGCTCCTTGCCAAGAAAATTACAGAACTTGGGTATTCATGCTTCTATATTCATGCAAAGATGTTGCAGGATCATCGCAATAGAGTATTTCATGATTTCCGCAATGGTGCATGTAGGAATCTTGTTTGTACTGGTATGTTGCTGGAATTTATGTATTTCCTCTTCCTCTTGTCTACACGCATAGATGTGAATATGCTTCACAAGTTCTTTTGGAGTTGGTTGTAACGATAGTAACAATCAGGTAGTTTAAGCAAGTTCTGTAATATACTGGGTGGACTAAGATCTATAATCATAAAAAATAAAAATGGCATCCACTCGTCATTGGGTGGACTTGGATCTGTTATTGTAAAAAAAAAAAATGGTATCCATTCATCAATCATCTAGTGGGCATGATGTCCGTTATGTGTATTTTAATGTTATTCATAATCAGCATATTCTAAATCATGCCATTTAATTCTTCGTTTTCAAACTAAATTTGGAAAGAGATCTGCCAAATAATTGCTTTCTTGTTCAAATGGCCATATCTAGTAATTTTTCCACTTAATCATTATTTTTCATGTTGATGACTTTTTAGTCTGAGAAAAAGAAGTCGCTATCTAGTTTGGAAAATATGTTACAGAAATAAATACATGAATGTGTTCAGTAAATAATGTAAAACCTTATAGTACATATATCTGGAAATCTCAGCTGACAGATTGGGGAGAATGGGGTAGAGGGAGAAGCAATTTGAATTTTATTGGAGAAGTTAAAGACGATTATGGAGATTGGGATGATTATGGCCCTTTTAAAGGTAATGGGGTCAAAATTTCTGGTATTTGTGAAAGATGGCATTACATAAACCTGAAATAAAAGGGTAATGATGTATGGCCGTGCAGTCATTTCCAGCAGAGATTTGTTCCCCATCAATTGCTCCTGCATCATTTATGTTATGAGAAAAAGATATGCATACTTTTGACAGATTCACTGGATGGACACCCACTAACTTCACATTAGAAAGATATAACCTCTCTAATGTGCTCCTTTAGTCCATTTTCTCTTTCAATTGAGTATGTTTGAGCTAAGAGGTGGATGAAGTGCGTGGGTCGTGGGTTGTATGACTAGTTTACCTATGAAATGGTTTCTGGCCATCCTTGTCTCCTTTTAAGCGAGTATTTTGATCAAGTGATGATATTTTGGTTATATGCCAATCCTTTTTTAAAATGTTTGTGATGATTTGCTTTATTTACTTATTTATTTTGTTTCAATGTATGCCTTGAATTAGCACGTGCTTCATTGGTCCTGTGGTTGGATTTTTGTGATATGTAGCCCTAATATTTTTATGCTCCTATTTTCACTGGAAACAATGACAGATCTTTTTACTAGAGGAATAGACATTCAAGCTGTCAATGTTGTCATTAATTTTGATTTTCCAAAGAACTCAGAAACTTACCTGCACAGGGTATGTTTGATGTCTGTCCTCTACCCTGCCTACAACGTGTTTCCCTTGACGCCAACTCACAGTCCAAGCATTCTTATACATGTTATGCTTTCATGCAGGTTGGTCGATCAGGGAGGTTTGGTCACCTTGGTTTAGCTGTGAACTTGATTACTTATGAAGACCGCTTTAATTTGTATGTGATTTTGTGGTCCAAAAGGAAAAAAGTTCTGTTTGTAATTTGATATTTATGTGAGTTCAAAATACTTGGTTTAGCTTTATAATGTGTTTTCCATCTTTCTTCAGATATAGGATTGAACAAGAACTTGGCACTGAAATAAAGCAAATCCCACCTCACATTGATCAGGCAATTTATTGCCGGTGATTAGTGGTAAATTGCCGGGTTGCATTTGCATTTGTGGTGAGTGGCAATGGTGAGTGTCTGAGTTATGGGAACTGTTTTTCTTCTGCATTTCTTGTGCGCAATTTGATTCTTGGTTGCTCAGGGTTTGAGTGGAAGGTGCAATTGAACCTGTTTTTTTTCATTTGTTCAACGTTGGTTGTTTACAACAACAACAATAATTTGAAGTCTTATCCCACTAATGTTGTTTGTTTAACTTTGGTTGTTTAGAATAATCAAAATGTTCTCATGAAAGATTTTGGTTTGTTGTGCTCTTTTTTCAATTAGATCCATATTTGGCGAAGGATAAATATTTATTTGACTGCTGTTCATTTATTTATTTTTATATCTTAGAACCTTTGTCAGGACTTATTATTAGTGAAGAATACCGAGGAGCCTACGTGAAATGGCTTAGCTGGTTGTGTTTTCATGGTTAATTCAGTCTTGAGATGAATTCTTTTTTTTTTTCTTAGGTTGTAGCTGATGCAATAATTTAATTCAATTTTGTGGCCACTATGAAGCTAGATTTATTGTGACAGACTGATGTGTATGTATCGCTTTGTTTCAGGGGAATGTGGCTGTTCTCAATGAAGCAGCTGCGTTTGTAGTTTAGCGTGAGAGGAGATCCAATATGATGATTTGGTTATTGTGGGGACGCTGTGGAATGATGCTTTATGGTTAATTTATGGTTGAGAGCCCCGAAACACCACTGGGACCCTCAGAAGTGGGGTGTTGAATTTTGATTGGCATGGCAGGATTGAAAGATGGGGGGGGGGGTCTATTGCATTTGTGGCTGTGTTTGCTGCTAACTTTTGTTTCTGTAGTCGTGATTTGTTATTGGATCTGTTTAGGGATGTGCCTTATCTCACTCGCATCCCATTAAGGGAGTGTTTGGATAAAAACAAAACCATGGTTTCAGAAGTGTTTTTATGGATTACGAAGTAAATATGTAGAGGAGGTTACCTCGTTTTGCGGAAAAGTGTTTCTGAAACCACGGTTTTGGAGCACCCAAACAGAGCCTAATTAAAGTCTAACAATCCTCGTTTTTCTCCGTTCTGTAAATGCCACTCTGGTGCTTGTTATTTGTCGGGACGAGTTTTGGTTTTTTGTTTTTTAATTTGTCACTTGTGTCCTTTTCAATGTTTCATTTTCAGTTGTACCCCTCTTAATTACTACTTCAGTTCTTTTAATTGTCACTTGCAGAAGAGGATTTTGATCCTTTTTATTTGTCACTTATACTTTTTTTAATACTTCATTTTTAATTCTGCTCCTATTACTTAAGAGATACAGATATAAAGGTGAAGAGAGCGGAAATAGGTGAGAAAAAATATACTACTCCTCTGGTCCTTAATATAAGACTCAATTATTGAGTTGGTTTTGATCCTAAATATAAGATCTATTTATCATATTTATCAATTTTCTCCAAATTACCCATATGGATACTCTCTCAACTATAATCAAATAGAAGAAGGAGAGAAGGTATTAAAAAAGATGATTATGGTGTTTTAGGAAAAACGTGTCACATTTTTTATAATTAATTAACTTTTTTAATTTAATCAAATTAGTTAAATGGGTCTTATATTAAGGACCGGAATGTTTAATAGGGTAAAAATGAAAGATTTTGTGTTGCATGCTTTTCTTAGTAAGTGGGAAATTACTACACGTGTCAATTAAAAAAAAGACCAAAGTGGTATGGTAAAGGTGAAGAGAGAGAAAATAGGTGAGAGAAAATATATTATTATTTAATGTTCTTTTTAATAAGGCCAAATGTTTAAAATTTTACTTATTTAATGCTTTGTGAGAAATTTCTTCAAGTGACAATTAAATCCTTTGCTTCGATGTTGTTCCTTATTCCTTGTTTTATTTTCAAAACTAGTGTTTCATAATTACTTTCTTTAACTGATCTTTAACTACTGCTTCAACATGTGACACGTTAATTAACTGAATTAATTAATGTGCAGCAAATACTATTGGTTGTGAAAAGGATGATCAAATTGGAAAGTATATGGGCAAACAAAAGAGAGAGTAATTAATTCAGGGCAAGCAAATTTTACAATTATTCAGAGGATGTAATTCTTTTGAAATTTGAATCAAATTTTAGAGTAAACTAATTGTATCAGTTTGAATAACCACATTATGAAAGGAGACGATAAGAAAAACAGAACACGCTGACACTGTTGAGCCGCTCGTCCTCACGTGGGAAACGCTCTTGCTTGCCTGCCTTCCCATAAATCATTCATGGCGTCTTTACTGAAATTAAGGTGAGGTTTTGAACTTATTACTCTTGTCTAAAATTCATAGAGTTTTTAGCTTTATCCTTATTAACTCATTTTATCTGAAGTTAAAAGGGCTACTTTCGGAAAACATAAATCGATATCAAATGAAGACAATATAAAAAATGTAACAAGTACTGCATTTCATATGGTGCTTTCTCCCCTATTCTATGAAAAGGACAAGTATACTGGCATACATGACAACAAAAAATGGTTAGTTAATTTGAGTTTAACTAGATTTTTTCCCCAAAAATATCATTTTTATAAAATTAACTTGCGTAAAAATGCCATCTGACACTTGTTCCCCCCCCCCAAAACATTTTGTTCTTTTTAAAACTAATTCTTTAAATGATACTCTTCATATCTTATTTATAAGCATTTTAATATATTTTACACAAATAAAGAAAAATCTTAAAATGCACTTTACCCCTATTTAACATATACACCTTTAAAAAAAAGATAATTACCTATGTAATAATAAATAAAGGATAAAATAGTATATTTATGTTAAAAGTTTAATAAAATGACTTATAAATAAGATAAAAAATATTCTTTTTTTTGTTTTATAAATAGGACCAAGGAGTATGGTAGAGAAATGGGAAAACGAATAGGATAATAAATACTCCTCTGGTTTTATTTATAAGATAGTGATAAAAGATTTTTTTCGTTATATTTATAGGATATTGAGAGAAATTTTTTGTATGGGTGTACAATTTTGCTATTTATTTATTATTGTGTTGATTTTATTTACATGAGTTATAATATATATTAAATAAAGATAAAATTAAAAAGTTATTAAATTTTAAATGAAAGTTAAGTAAGTTCAAGATTTTTTTAATCTATATAAAACATATTGAAAGTTTCTTGTAAAAAAGAAAGGAGAGCAGCTTGGGACGTATAAATGTTAGTTTATAAATAATAAATTTAAAAAATAAAAGGCCAGGGAGTGGGGGTGGAGGGATAAAAGACAAATGGATTATTGTCGGGGAAGGAAACCAGAGGCAGCAAAAGAAATAGTGACGGATGGTTTGACCGCATTTATAGGCAGCACATGACCCTCAGCTTTGACCATTCCTCACTCTCTTTCTTTTTCCCTTTCTCATCTCAAAATCACACTTCAAAAAATATATTCTTCTTCGGCTACTTAATTTACATTAATTAAAAATATTTAATAAAGTATTACGAAAGGAAAAAGAATTAAACTTTTATATTTGAAACTAAACTAACTTCTTAACTAATTTTTATATTTAAAGAATTAAAACTCAACTTAAAAGTTGAGAGATTAAGATCTGAGAACAAGTTCAGAGAATAAAAATTGTATGAAGCTGCAAAATTAATTACTCCTTCCTTATTACTAGTGAAAAATTGTTTTAATTGTGAGATCAAAAAGGTTGAAGACGCATTAACTTTATTTGAAGATTAATTTTTTTAAAAAAATTTACTCACTAATTTCATGGAGAAGAAGTAAGGAGGAGTCACGTCCCAAAACATAAAAAAATGGCCAAAAAAAAACCTATTAGATTTTAAAAAGATAAATAGATTACACTGTCTAATTCTATAATAGTTTTGACAAGTCTGTCAAAATTACTTATTTATTATTTTAAAATTTAATAGGTATTTTTTAAATATTTTTTCAACCATAAAACCATAAAAGGTCTTATCAAAGTCTTATATAAGTATGCAATTATGAAAACCACGTGACAAATTTTTCCCCTAATATCTTATTTGGTAAACTGTGGTTAAAAAATTATTTCCAAGACCCGTGCTATCCAATAATACATTTTGGTTTTCTCATACAATCTCTCTCTTTTTTTTAAAATTATTATTCCCTCTCATTTAATCACTTATTATTAATTGCTTATTAAAAATGTATTTTATACGTAATCATTATTTTAACTAATTTGTTTTCTTAAACTCTGATTTAGACATGATAAGAAGGTTGAGTGGAGGTAATAAAAGGAGGACATTGCATGAGAGTGTCCGTACCCTGCGACTGCATTAATATGATCGACGCCATTAATGATCTTCTTCTTTCCTTATCTGTGGGCGTGTTACTGTTGCTGCTTTTTTATCCTTCAGAGAATCCGCCATTAATGCCCTTTTCTCTTCTTAGAGATGAGCCTTTAATGCTGTCGCCATCACCAGCACTCTCCCTTCTTTCACTGTTGTGTGCTTCTCTCTATCTCTCTCTCTCACACTGTTGAGCATTTATTGCTCATCCCAGCTGCAAACTTGCTGAAGAAACCTCCTTTCCTCCCATCAATTATTTCTCCTTCCGCTCCGTCTTCGTCTCGCGCCCATCTCATATCCGTAGCTTCCATAATTACAGATTGAAAATTCATTTGTTTCTGTTTTTAAAATCATCTTTAATATGTGTATCAACGTCACCAATTCGTTCAGAAATGGTGTGGGTAAGATTTTCTACCATCACAAGTATTTATTATAGATTTTGCTGCATGTATTTAATTTGTGGTAAAATCCTTTATCTAAAATAACCTTAAAAATCAGTAAAAGGTCTTGTCAACTTGTCCGACATTTAAATCGTTCTTTTGTCGTCTACAGATGCAACGATATTTATTGAATCCAAAATTTTCTCAGACCCATCCATCTGCCTGCAGGCTTCTCCATGATCGTACCATTTCCCAACATTTAAACCCTTCTCGCCTTCTCTCTCTCTCTCGCGGACGCACTTGGCCCTTTTACCTCTCTCTCTCCCCGCAAGTTTCCCCTGAGCTCATTTAATTCTTGAGCCCCAGCAAGTAGAATCTGGAGCCTCTTGATAGTCGATCAACGATGGGAAGAACACCCTGCTGCGACAAGAGGGGTTTGAAGAAAGGGCCCTGGACGACTGAAGAGGATGAGCTTCTTGTTGACTACATCAAGAAGAATGGTGGCCATGGAAGCTGGCGTTCTCTCCCTAAGTTGGCAGGTATTCATCTGTCTTGTTGTCCCTTCCGGCTTCTCCTTTTCCTTGACTCCGAACAAACATGCTTTGGGTGGTAAAAGCCTTCAGTTTTAGATTTTCTGACTGTCAGTTAAACAGTGATGCTTGTTTCAAATGATTCTTAGCTTTGACAAGGCAAGAAACTACTTTGAAGTAGGAGTTCAACTTTTTGGGGTATGATGTTTTCGTGCTTGTATATAATTAATACAACCTTTATCTCTCATTTATGGTCTTTTCTTGGTACGATCTGCACTTATTATCAGTTCGAATCCTGAGAACTCGATGCCTCCATTTTGATTTGGGAAGCACTGAATCTAAGACTATAAGTAGCAAGTAGTACTGAAAATGAAAAGGCTGTGATTGAATTGTAATAAAGGTTGTATGTGGTGCGCAGGTCTGCTTCGCTGTGGGAAGAGTTGCAGGCTAAGGTGGACGAACTATCTAAGGCCTGATATAAAACGTGGTCCGTTCAGTGTTGAGGAAGAGAAGCTTGTAATACAGCTTCACGGCATCCTTGGTAATAGGTACTACTTAATTTCCTGATACAATCATGCTGGTGTTATAACCAGCTAATGCGCGGTTTTAGATGAGACAGAGCTAGAAATGTTGTTTACGGCAAAAGAAAACTGGGAAATTGTGTTTACAATTTATAAATGAAAAATGATTTTATTACTTGACTACGTGTAGCTAGAAATTTTGAAATGAATGAACCAGCTGGAATTGAACTTGCCATAGCGAAGTTGTTTTGCAGAAAACTTGGTCTAATCATATCTAATTTGTTATTATTTTTAAAGTAGGAAATGATCAGTACATCTCCATCATTAACATGATGTCGTTTATGATGATCAATACTCAAGCTTCAAATTGTCTGTTTATTTTTTGTAATAATATTTTTGAAATAAGAACGAGGATTATTTTTATGGTCAAAGATATTGTGTTTCTCCTCTGTTTAAAAATAAGGTAGCTATGTATGAAATGCTGTCTCTATTCCGAAAGTAACTAATGCCACTCTTGAGATATTATAGCCTTATAGGTTTACATGAAAGAAATTGCTCCTCCGGTCCTATATATAAAGTTCTTGTATTTAGGAGGGTAGTATTATAGTAGAAGCAGCCGTAGAATAACACGTAAAGACCTTGATCTTGTGATACAGAAGCTGTTCAAATTAATACAGATTGAGATTGATTAAATAAAGAGATTATGGACAATGTTTGCAGGTGGGCGGCGATAGCGTCCCAGCTACCGGGAAGAACAGACAATGAGATAAAGAATCTGTGGAACACGCACTTGAAGAAGCGACTCTTGTGCATGGGTCTCGACCCTCTCACCCACAAGCCTCTTTCTTCTTCGTCTCCTCCTCCTCCTGATCCCAACAAGCCCGACGCCTCCGTCTCCACTCGCCACATGGCTCAGTGGGAGAGTGCCCGGCTCGAGGCGGAGGCTCGCCTCTCCAAGGAGACCTCTCTCTTCGCCAAACCCCCGCCGACTCCGACTTCTTCCTCCGTCTCTGGAACTCCGAAGTGGGCGACGCCTTCCGCAACATGCACGCCGTCTCCTCTCCGGGATCGTCGTCTTCCACCAAGTGCACTGCTACCACGGCCTCTCTCTGCACGCAAGCTCCAACAGCAGGTGGTCTCATGGCCGCGTCTGACGACTCTTCCATCTCTAATGACTTGGAAGACTCCTCGGACACAGCGTTGCAGCTCTTGTTGGACTTTCCCATTTACAATGACATGAACTTCTTAGAAGCTAACTCTTTCATTTCTCCTCTTTAAGCAACTGCTACTGGTACATGGCTATCACGTTTGTTGTAATCCGCTTATATGCGCATTTTGGTTCAAGTATCTTGTACTATTTCTGTGAAAGGCATACATATATGTGTGTCAGGAGATCTTGTAGGATGATGGTTGCTGAATTTTGGTTTTCATTAGGCTTAATTATATATACATATGAAATACGTGTTACGTGTATCTGAAATGTTAATCTGCTTTGCTCAATTTCCTCCTATTTTTCACTCGTTTGTGAATTTGCGATCCACAATTCATGAATAAATGTTATCGTGCACCCGTTAAGGCCTTGGGCTGATGTATGAGTGCAAGGTAATAAAACCAAGCTTCTCTTGTAAATGGTGGCTACTCCTAATTAGCCATTTGCTATTGAAATTACAAATTTTGTACGTAAATTTTGGTGTAGAAAAATTTCATATTGATGGATGGATGGATGGATAGAGAGAGAGTGAGTTTAGCTAGGTTAGATTATGCCATGGGTACGAGTTCCCTGTGAGTTGAAAAAAATAACAGGAACAAGAATGAAAATCGTCTGGAGATGTTAACCCGTAGTGATATAATAGTACTGGGTCCCCCGCAAATTATAGAGCCCTTGCTGTGAAAGTTCCAAAATGGTAACCTGGAACAACCTGTGCTCTGTAAAGTTTAGAGACTTGAGTGCAAACTTTAAAGAAGTACTCGTGTAACCTGTAATGGCCTCATCATGTGTTCGGTTAACTATATATCACTAGGTTTAACCACGCGGATCATTCTGAAGCAAAACAATTTTCAAAAGGATTAAAAATGAGATCTGCGATACTTGAAAAGCGTATTTGAAAGATTGGAAAACCGTGTCGTCCTTTTAACAGAAGACATCCAAAGCGGATAAAACAGGAGACGAAAAAGACAAGAAAGGCAACCAGGCCATTATCTGATGAGTAGAAGATCCGTGTTGTGTAAAAATCCATCGAAGAACTCTATATGAGGGGGCCCGTCCAAACAAGAAACTCGTCATAGATTTGATTTTGTACTTTTGTTTTTGAGGTTTATTTTTTCTTACACACATAAAACAACTTCAAGAAAAAAGGCCCCAAAAACATATACACAAAATTTAAAATTAATATTCATTACTACAAAATAAAACCACAGACAAAACCGAAAAGAAAGAAGGAATCAAAAGCATCCAAGGAGTTTCTTTGGAGTGGTTCCGGTTGCGCGGTACTTTGCAGCAAATTCCTCTGCTTTCAGAACTTCTTCGCCTCTCTTGGCTTCAACCACTGCCCTCTTCTCCTCTGCTTCCTTGTGAACTAACGCTATCTTGTTCTTCATTTTCTCCCCATATTCTGCTTTCTTTCTCTCCAGTTCTTCCTGTTCATGCACAATGTCATTTTCAATAAAAAACAAGGTTCTTATGCGCCTGTGTTTTATGGCCGCCCCGCGGGGAACCAAATGAAAACATTATTTGATCATGCAAAGGGCTGTGCTTCTCTGGGTGCTCCCATGAATCATACTACCATGTACCATGAAACTTAAAGGCCTACTCTTTCCACTAACAGTTCATCAATATTTTGGCAACTTCCAGATTCTTTGATGCCATCTCAATGATTAATTGATGGAATATAATATTAATAAGGAATAATTGGAATCTACCCTAGTTCAGGAAGACTTATCGTTAATTTTATAATTATCTTTATTAAGATTTTAATTAGAATTTATATATCTTTTAGGTTTAGATTTATGAAATCATTTCTTATTCATTAGAATTTCCTGTCTTTATAATTTCTTTTGCTTAAACATTAAGTGAGGTTTAGGTTGTTTAGAGCACTATAAATAGAACAAAAACTATTCTAATAGTATGCCTTCGATTACGAATTAAACAATATTGATATTTGAGTGCTTCCTCCTCCCTCAGTTTCTTCTCTCTCTCACATTTGTCTAGTTTTTCACTCCCTGCTTTTCTACCTCATCGCTATTCTCTTCTCTCCCCTTTTCACCCTGTTGTTCTACATCATTACTTCAATTAAAAAAGAAAAAGAAAAAGCTTTCAAGTGAAAGCTTACTTTAAGCTCTTAAATAATAATGAATCAATGAGCTATAGGGTAAGTATTACCTCAATTTTTTTCAGCTTAGCTTCGATTGCTGCTTTCTTGCTATTTTCCCATGCAGCAACAGTAGAGAGCTTCTTTTGGGCCCTGTTAACATATCATAGTATTTCCTTTTAACGCAGTTACGAAGACAGAGCAAGAGCAAGATTATAGAACAAAACTAGCGAAGAATATGAGAAATCTGCAGAAGGACCATTCCTGACATGTTTGCACGGAATTTCACACCGGGAGAATCACTATAAGGTCTCAAAAAGAAATATATTCACTAAAAAGTCCTACAACAATTGAGTAGCTTGTAATGACAAGTTCAAGTGTAGGAAATGACAATAAGTTTCGATCGCTCACTTGTCATTAGGACTTTTTAGTTTTTTTTTTTTTTGAGACCTCATTATAATGATCCCTTTCATATTTGGCATTTGAAGAATCAGATTTGAGTCTTGTTAGACAGTAGCAAAATAAACAAGTATTGGCATTTCTGTTTCAGCTTATAGATCAAAGAGAAAATAGGTTCATATCAAACACAGCACAAGAGAACTGAAGAAAGTCTTACTTGTTCTCTGCTTTGGTTTTCTCACTTTCTTCCCATGCCTTGATGTAGGACAACCTTTTCTCTTTCCCCACTTCTGCCAGAGCAATATCTGTACAACATATAGAAAGTACATAAGCTTCTTGCTAAAGAAAATATATGCGTACCACTGAGAACGACAAGCAAACAAATAACTTTAACTCTTTAAGCAGGATATTTAGAATGAAGCATTATACACGCATTTTATAGTTCATTGCTAATAGTTCATCAAAATTACGTCATATGAAAGTTTTTTCCCCCCAAAAGAGTCTATGATCAGCTAATCTATTATAAATTATGTCAAATGCTATGTTTTCATTGAATAACCTGATAACAGAAGGCTTTGAAAATTGCAGGTAAGTTATAGTCCGATTAAAAGGAGGTTTCAAATGTAAGTTAGCACTATGACGAAGGGAGAGATAAGTATATGTGATACAAAAATCCATGTATGAGTTTGCTTTGGGCCCAGAGACTAGAAAATGTAGAAACTTCACTACATGGCTTTCAAATTAATTCGTTCAAGAAGTCACATTTTTTCCCTTTTGTCAAAGAAGTTCCCACAGTATGTGGAAGAACTGCATGATCATGAGTTGGAATATTAATAAGGATCAATCCCAGAAAGTAAAAGACAATGTAATAAACTGAAAAACTAAAAAAGTTAAAAGCTAACCCCTGTCAATGGATCCTCCTTGCTTCTTTTCAGGTTCTGGGACCTCTGTGTGTAAAATGCATCGAAGAGAGAAGCATGAATATGATATTACATCTCAAATAAGAACTCTTACAAGTTAAATTATAGCTGTTCTTTACAAGTCCAACCAAATAAAGTGTAACAATTCAGCAAAGATAGGAAAGAAAACAGTATTTTTATGGAAAGATGATGAAATGTAGTTGTTTAATCCCTAGAATTTTTTTTTTTTTCAATTATGTTTCACTGCGCTTTTTTTTTTTTTTATAACTATCTGGGATATAATCCAATAAATCTAGTAAGCATTCAAATAATGAATGAATTGGCCGTATCAAAATTATATTATACATCACAAACTAGAGAGTGGAGACTAGATTTAAATTGGAAAACTTAAATAAGCAAAAAAAAAAAAAATCCAGAACCCATAACCATTATGGATTTTAAATTGGAAAACTTAAATCAATTAACCATGAAATAAATAACATGCCCTCATATTTAATACATCAGTTAAAAAGAAATAAAATAATGTGGAATATCGAAGAATACTCTAGCTGTGATATAGGCACAGCTGCCAATATGAGCAGGAAAGGAGCGCACAAGGAAATAAAATAATCTTAAAGAACAAGGCAAATATAGAATCGAATAATTAAGATGAGCACAATCCAGTTGGCAATGAATTGAAGACATAATCAGCCAACCAAAGAAAAAGTTTAGAACTTTTCCCGCAAATTAAAGCAGCGTTAGACAGAGTGGAAAAAGAACTCCTCAACATGGGGAACAAAATTAATTTTTGAGGTCCCATCTTGGGCCTAATGTAAATTTCTTTGTTGGAAAGGAGAAAGATTGCCTCTTGGATTAGAAAGCAGGCCACACTACACAGTAAAAATATTTAGAATATAAATGTAAAAGGATAAAATATGAAGGTCTATAATTGATGGCTATCCAGAAAATGATAATAAGCATACAGATCTAATAACGATGTGGTACTCAGAACGATGATATATCAGAGCTGTGAAGGTCAGCCTCAGGGGAGATAGGCCAAGCGAGAAAGTGAATAATTGAAATCGATTTAGAAAATGACAAAGTCTCACCGAGTCATCCAATCCATAAAATGAAATACGAGAACAAATTTATAAAAAGGCCGTTTTCTTCTTCTTCTTCTTCTTCTTTTTTTTTTTTTTAATCTCCGATGAAATAGAGAAGGAAAAGGGGGGGGGGGGAATCACGGACATGGAGACATATATTTGGAGCAGTGATTGAACTGGGGAGTTGGACTTGTAGGAGTGTTACATGGTTTTTGCTTCTCTTGTCGGAGAAGCAAAAGCAGGATGCTCAACAGCATGAGCATGAGCATGAGCATGAGCAAAAGAACAGTACACAGTCAAGGATCAAACTAAGGTGGAATTTGACAGGAAGTCATTAATATTGATCCGAGAAAGGAAAATAATGGAAAGTGAGAAGCAACAAGAAAGAAGGAAGCTGGAAAATGATAGAAGAAAACTTACTTTCAACAAGAGCAAGAGCTTGGGTGTCAGGCGGTGGAGGCAGGGGCTTGGTATCAGGGGCGTCGTGGGGCGGCGGAACCTCAGCGAGAGGGGGGTCGAGGGGCTTGGAATCGAGCGGAGCGGAGGCAGGGTCGGGCTTAGTTTGGAGGTCGGCCATGGATGCTAAGTGAAGAGAGCAGAGAGAAACAAGGTGGTGTGGAGGAACTGGATGTGGACTGAGGAGTGGCAACGTTGAGGTGGGGAAGGTGGGGGTGGGCCTCTTATACAGCTAAGCACCTTTATGATACTCGCTCCCTCCTCGTAGCGTTGATTCCGTGTGAGTACTGTGCTTTTGATAATTTGATTTTCCAACTCATTCATATCATATCACACAGCACAACCCTCTTTCTTCTCCCTTTTCTATTCGTTGATTAAATTTAAAATTGAAAGTGTCTGTCTACAATTATATTGCCCAAAGGAGGAATTGAATTTCAAACCCCTCTGATCTCCACTTATAATTTCATCAATAACGTCCTTATGAAGCGAAGTGATCTGCCCAGCTCAAAATATGAAGAGCGGTGGATGTGAAACAGGTGTAGGGAGGAAAGGAGGGCGGGATGTAGGGAATGATTCCTGGCGATTGCCGACAGGTAATACGGGTAATGGACCCCCGGGTGGGGGGTGCCACGTGTTCGTGAATGAAGGAATGAATTTGGCCGCGTGCGAGGGCATCACAAAGGCAAAACGACGGCGTTTTCTGGGAATAAGGTCACGTCGTAACGGTTGCGGCGGGACCACAAATTTTGGGCCAATCTCATCCGCCGCTCAGTCTTTTGAAATAAAAATCAGAGATGTTTTCGGGAGTATGTTTATGGAATGAGGGAGTAAGATGATAAAAATCTGAATTCTGAGAGAGTAAGCGCATCCATATGGATAGAAGAGATTTATAGTGGTCAGAAAGAAAGCAGATGGTATTCGGTGTGCAACCAAAAATTGGGCATCTGATTACAGATCGGGAAAATCCGGAAAGCCGGCCGGAGAAATCCTTAAACCCTTGTTATTATTAATACACCTGGCGAGGCGACAAAATAACTAATAATACAATTTATAAAATATTACGTGATCAATTTACAGTTCATATCATGTTTAGCTCAACGCGACAATGATAATTTGGGGGGGGGGTGTAAATCGTAAAAATTTATATTTGGCCTAAGAGGATACCGTGGTAGATCACAGATGTTTCAAAATTTGACATGGAGGCAAGGCAATATTGCTGGCCAAGGTACATGGAGATTAGGGAAATAAAAGAGTGCATACAGAGAAAGCAAAGATGACAGGTAGTATGAGATGGAGGCAGGTGGGATTGACTTAATCTGTGGCCACTATATATATATATATATAGACACACACTCCTTCGGTCCTTAATATAGGACCCAATTCTTGAGTTGGTTTTGGTCCTAAATATAATACCTATTTCTCATATTTATCAATTTTCTCTAAATTACCCCTATGGATACTCCCTCAATTATAATCAAGTAGAAGAGGGGGATGGGGTATTAAGAAAGATGATTATGGTGTTTTAAGAAAAATATGTCACTTTTCTTATAATTAACTAACTTATCTAATTTCCTTAATCTAATAAAATTAATTAAATGGGTCTTATATTAAGACCGGAGGAGTATTATATATGGTTTATTGATCATTGATGGGTTGATTAATTGTGAGTTTGGAGGAAGCGCGAGGGTGGTGGAACCAGAAGAGTAAAGCAGAAGTGATGAGATGGCGTTAATGAGTGCTTCTCCGCCAATTCTGCCGCGTGGATGCGGTGTCCGTCTCGCTGCTTTCTCGTGTTTCGGCAACTCTTTATTATTGGTCTAATTGCGATTCCATTCATCCAATTCCAATTAACATATACTTCTCTAATTCAATTTATAAATCACTTTTATTATATTTTATACAGATTAAAAAAATTTTTAAATTATATTAACTCTCTATTAAAATATAATAACTTTCTAATTTTATTTATATTTAATGTACACACCTTAAAAAATAACTATTTATATTATAATAAATAAAAAAATAAAATAGTACATTCACACTAAAAATTTAATAAGAAATTAATAAAAATCTTTTCTTTCTGCTTTATAAACAGAACTGAAGCCTATGAATAAAAGAATGGTATCATACAATGAAACATAATGTGTCAATGTACAAGTTAGTAAATGGAACATTAATTCATGCATAAACCACATATAATTTAACAAAACATATGTATAAAAACATAAATTTGACTGATTGCTATTATTTTAACCAAAAAAAACGATATCATTTGAAACTCAACAAATAAAGCCCAAAAAAAAAAACTCAGTCCATTAATTCAACAATTATTCATAGGGGTAATTACATTCAATGCACTCTCTGGTCAAAAAAAAAAAAAATTTACATTCAATGCACTCCTCTCTTCATCTTCTTGTTCCCTCCACGCCATGCACTCGTTATCTTGCTTTTTGGCCCCATCCATCCATCCGTCCCCTCCGCTCCTCTTTTCTCAATATCACATTATTATTTCTTCAAACCTTCATTCATTCCTCTTACTATTATATAAATATATATATGTATATATTCACATTCATTTTCAATGTTGCGAAGCCATTATCTCACATTTTTATGAATTAATCTCACTATTGCAATATCTTGGACTTAATCATATACATATGAATCACAAATATAGTTTCACTTCTTCCTTCAACTCAACATGCATAAATCTACCTATACATTATGTATATTCACAACGGTAGTATTCTCTACGACCCCTGAATTCTGCTATTTAATTTCTTCTGCATTTTATTGCTCATTTCATTTTGTCACAGCCTTAGAAAAACAAATGACACCTTTCTTAATTTAATAAATAAGACTTGAAATTTTACCCGAAGAAAAAAAAGCGTTGAAAACAAACTCCTAATTAACTCACACAAGCATATAATATCTAACTAAGTACTCCCTCCATCCCTTATTATAAGATCTAATTTTTTTGAATAGGTTTGTCTTTTTTTATAAAATCCTCTTTGAGTTTGTCTAAGTATTTAATACAAAATTACCTATTTTACCCCTAATTTAATACATTTAATACATTTTCTTTCTTCATTTATCTAATTATTACTCTTACATTTACCCATTTATATATAGGGATATATTTTTTAAAAAAATTTTATTGGCTACATATTAATTACTTTTACTAATTTTAACTGTTTTCTTAAACAATGTAATTAAGTTAAAAGTATCTTATAATAAGGGATGGAGTACTATACAATTAGACAACATTTCCACGCCTTGTTTGTGGAAATAATGATAAAAACAATGCAAAAGTGTGGAGATGCTGTTTAGTTTTAAACTAAAGTATACATTTAGTCCTTTAACTTTATGTAGGGTTTCAGTTTGATCCCTTAATTTTAAAAAGTATACTTTTAGTCATTTAACCCTAAAGTTATCATTCTTAAATGATGATTTTTTGTAATAATCATGGTTTTTTTGAAAATAAACTTAATATTATCGCATTTAATAATGTTTTATCAACCTTCAAAAGCTCAATATCATCATTTTTTATTCATGGTTAAAGGATCAAAATAAAACCTTATATAAGGTTAAAGAATAAAAAGTATAGTTTATCCTTTGTTTTATTATTAAACCATCACGGCCTCCATCGAAACACGCGCCAATCAAAACGAGACTGTCCTGCTAAACATGGGAATATGCTTTCCTATATATAAGACCGACCGAGCGCCAATATATGGAGTCAAAGTCAAAGTCATTTGAGAATAGTTATATTGGATGCATGGCATCGATTCGAGACGGACATTGAAAAGGTCGCATCGCCATCCTTCTTTCACTCAAAATGCTTTCCGTATTTGGCTCTCATGATATTTTGGGCATCCATTCATTGGCCACCCCCTGATTTACGTTATGTCTCTTCAATCTCATATAAAATGGCTTTTCCTCCAGACATTGTCTTAGACTTTGTCTGGGGGGTCTCTCTTGATTTAATTCAATCTCATTTCTGAAACTCAGACTTATTGGGTTACAGGGAAATCCCGCACTAGAAGGGGCAAACAAACACGAGCAGGCAGGAAAGAAAAGGCTTGCCTTCAGCGAGGAAGGAAAACAACTAGAAAGAGGAAGATCAGATAAAGAGAAATAAAAATGTCTTTCACTGGAACTCTGGATAAATGCAAGGCTTGCGATAAGACTGTTCATGTGGTGGACATGATGACCCTTGAGGGTACCCCTTACCATAAGTCCTGCTTCAAGTGCAGCCACTGCAAGGGATTTCTCTCGGTATAATTTTAATGCCCAACGTAACACACCACATGCTGCTTCTTAGCTTGTTGTTAGAATAATTAATCATTGAATTTCAATGCATCTGATGGATGCGCAGATGAGCAGCTACTCCTGGATGGACGGTGTCCTCTACTGCAAGCCCCATTTTGAGCAGCTCTTCAAGGAATCTGGCAATTTCAGCAAGAACTTCCAGTCGGGTAACTTGCATTCTATTGTGTGCTTTTCTTTGTTTCTTTGCTCCTTCAATGGGAAACTTAGATATGCCTAACAAGCTGATATGCTGTGTGATGAACTCAAAATTTGGCAGCGAGGTCCACTGAGAAGAATGATCTGGTATGTTCACTATATATGCTTAATTGTCACGCGCGTTATCATACTGTGGCTAGAATATGGATTGAAATATGGATGTGCGTGTTTTGATGTGTATATACAGTCCAGGACTTCAAGCAAGCTCTCTTCCATGTTCAGCGGAACCCAAGACAAGTGCTCTGTGTGTGGAAAAACAGTGTATCCTCTGGAGAAGGTTTGATCATACGTACATGTTATGACGATTGAACATTGTGTTGATGATGAAGAATATGTAATATTGAGTAATGAGTGATGATGGCCGGTGCAGATGACGCTGGAAGGAGAGTGCTTCCACAAGTCGTGCTTCAGGTGTGCTCATGCAGGCTGCCCTCTCACCCATTCCTCGTACGCCGCCCTCGACGGCGTCCTCTACTGCAGGCACCACTTTGCTCAGCTCTTCATGGAGAAGGGAAATTACAACCATGTCCTCCAGGCCGCCGCTCACAAGCGCAGCGCCAGCTCCGGCACTCCTCCTCCCGAACCTGCTACTGAAGACGATGACGCCAGCCCTCATCATGACGACAAGAAGGACGACGACCCCAAAGATGATAAAGAAGAAGAAGAACAGGACCA